GCACCCGGCCTCACCCTACTAGAATCTGAAGTCAAATGTCTACTGTTTGCTGATGATCTGGTGCTTCTGTCCCCAACCAAGGAGGGCCTACAGCATCACCTATATCTTCTGCACAGATTCTGTCAGACCTGGGCCCTGACAGTAAATCTCAGTAAGACAAAAATAATGGTGTGCCAAAAAAGGTCCAGTTGCCAGGACCACAAATACAAATTCCATCTAGACACCATTGCCCTAGAGAACACACACAGGTAACTTCCACAAAGCTGTGAACGATCTGAGAGACAAGGCAAGAAGGGCCTTCTATGCCATCAAAAGGAACATAAAATTCGACATACCAATTAGGATCTGGCAAAAAATACTTGAATCAGTTATAGAACCCATTGCCATTTATGGTTGTGAGGTCTGGGGTCCGCTCACCAACCAAGAATTCACAAAATGTGACAAACACCAAATTGAGACTCTGCATGCAAAATTCTGCAGAAATATCCTCTGTGTACAACGTAAAACACCAAATAATGCATGCAGAGCAGAATTAGGCCGATACCCGCTAATGATCAATGTCACGATCGTCGTTAGATGAAATGGACCAAGGCGCAGCGTGGTAAGCGTACATTTTTATTCCGTACACAACACACGACAAAACAATAAACAAACGATACGTGAAGTCCTGAGGTTATACACACCAAACCAAACGGAACAAGATCCCACACTGACTAGTGAAAACAGGCTGCCTAAGTATGGACCCCAATCAGAGACAACGAGCTACAGCTGCCTCTGATTGGGAACCACCCTGGCCAACATAGATCTAAACGATCTAGAACTAAACATAGAAAAACTAAACATAGAAAAATCCACACCCTGGCTCAACATTTAAGAGTCCCCAGAGCCAGGGCGTGACAGTACCCCCCCCCCAAAGGCGCGGACTGCGACCGCGCCACACAAACACAAGAGGGTAGGGGCCGGGTGGGCATTCCGCCTCGGAGGCGGATCCGGCTCCGGGCGTGACCACCACTCTCTCTCTACCCCCCCGTTGCGCCCCTGGTCTGGTCCCGCTGGCCGGAGCTGGACTGGAGACCCGTGGAGCGGATTGCTCAGGCTCCGGAGTGGAGCAGCTGACCGGTGCCGGACCAGGCACCGGTGGAACAGGCACGGGTCGTGCCGGACTGGACACACGCACCACTGGCTTGGTGCGGGGAGCAGGAACGGGCCGGACCGGGCTGACGACGCGCACCACTGGCTTGGTGCGGGGAGCAGGAACGGGCCGGACCGGGCTGACGACACGCACCACTGGCTTGGTGCGGGGAGCAGGAACGGGCTGGACCGAGCTGACGACGCGCACCACTGGCTTGGTGCGGGGAGCAGGAACAGGCCGGACCGGGCTGACGACGCGCACCACTGGCTTGGTGCGGGGAGCAGGAACGGGCCGGACCGGGCTGACGACGCGCACCACAGTTTTGGTGCGGGGAGCAGGAACAGGCCGGACCGGGCTGGCGACGCGCACCACAGGCTTGGTGCGAGGGACAGGAACAGGCCGGACCGGGCTGGCGACGCGCACCACTGGTTTGGTGCGAGGGACAGGAACAGGCCGGGCTGGACTGTGGAGACGGACTGGAGGTCTGGAGCGGAGAGCTGACACAACCCGTCCTGGCTGAATGCCTATTTCCACACAATCAGTGTGAGGCATCAGCACAGGACGTACAGGGCTGTGCACTCATACTGGCACTACAGCACGTGGCACTGGCGCAGGATATCCGGGACCGAGGAGGGGTACTGGAGGCCACGAGCGTTGAGCCGGCACACTCCGTCCTGGCTGCATGCCCACCTTAGCACGACACGTGCGTGGTGCTAGCACAGGACGTACAGGACTGTGCCAGAACACTCGCGGCACAGTACGTGGCTCCGCATAACTCGGAACCTGCCCAGTCTCACGCTGCCTAGCCTGAGTACGGGGAGTTGGCTCTGCTCTACCTCTAGGCTCCGCCAACCACCCTTCCAGCCCCCCAAACCTGGTGGCCTCCTCTCCTAAATCGCCGATGCGCCCTGTAGCTGCCTCCAGCAGCCCCGTCGTCCACGCCGTGTGCCCCCCCAAAAAAATGTATTGGGGTTGCCTCTCGCGTGTCCGTCGTCGGCACGGTTGCCGCCGTTTCTCCTCTCTTGCCAGGGCCTGTACCTTTACCCAGGGCCCTCTGCCCGCGAATATGTCCTCCCATGACCACCATTCGCCCACCTGAGCCATCGCCAGCTTCTCCTCCTGGGCACGCTGCTTGGTCCTTTTATGGTGGGATCTTCTGTCACGATCGTCGTTAGATGAAACGGACCAAGGCGAAGCGTGGTAAGCGTACATTTTTATTCCGTACACAACACACGACAAAACAATAAACAAACGATACGTGAAGTCCTGAGGTTATACACACCAAACCAAACGGAACAAGATCCCACACTGACTAGTGAAAACAGGCTGCCTAAGTATGGACCCCAATCAGAGACAACGAGCTACAGCTGCCTCTGATTGGGAACCACCCTGGCCAACATAGATCTAAACGATCTAGAACTAAACATAGAAAAACTAAACATAGAAAAATCCACACCCTGGCTCAACATTTAAGAGTCCCCAGAGCCAGGGCGTGACAATCAAAATCCAGAAAAGAGCCGTTAAATTCTACAACCACCTAATAGCAAGCGATTCCCAAACCTTCCATAGCAAAGCTATCACCTACAGAGAGATGAACTTGGAGAAGAGTCCCCTAAGCAAGCTGGTCCTGGGCCTCTGTTCACAAACTGACCCCACAGAGCCCCAGGACATCAACAACAACACAATTAGACCCAACCAAATCATGAGAATTACTTACATTTTAGTCATTTAGCAGACGCTCTTATCCAGAGCAACTTACAGTTAGTGAATACATATTTTTTTATACTGGCCCCCCGTGGGAATCGAACCCACAACCCTGGCATTGCAAACACCATGCTCTATCAACTGAGCTACATCCCTGCCGGCCATTCCCTCCCCTACCCTGGACAAATTGTGCGCCGCCCATGAGTCTCCCGGTCACGGCCAGCTGCAACAGAGCCTGGATTCGAACCAGGATCTCTAGTGGCACAGTTAGCACTGCGATGCAGTGCCTTAGACCACTGCGCCACTCAGGACACATTGGAAAGATTTAACAACATATGTTTCCCATGCCAATAAAGCCCCTTAAATTGAATTGAATTGAATTGAGAGACAGAGAGAGAGAGAGAGAGGGAGAGCGAGGGAGGGAGAGAAAGAGAGGGAGAGAGAGAGGGGGAGAGAGAGCGAGAGACAGGGAGAGAGAGAGAGGGGGAGAGAGAGAGGGGGAGAGAAAGAAAGAGAGTGAGATTGAGAGAGCGAAAGAAAGAGATTGAGAGAGAAAGTCAGAGAGAGAGCGGGAGAAAGAGATCGAGAGAGAGAGAGTAGTTTTATATTGTGCCTAGAAGAATTGAGACATTGGATCAAATCTCTTGTCTTCCTACCAGCACAGCAGGGTCTCACTCTCTAACCAGCATCGACCCCTCAGTGTCTGTTCCACTTCCCCTTCCTCTTGTCCCTCTTTCACATCCTCTCACCTCCTCTCGCTCCTGTCTCAGTGAGACTCACACACAGTGGTCTTTAGAGAAGAAGAAGAAGAAGAAGAAGAAGAAGAAGAAGAAGAAGAAGAAGAAGAAGAAGAAGAAGAAGAAGAAGAAGAAGAAGAAGAAGAAGAAGAAGAAGAGAAGAAGGAGAAGAAGAAGAACACAAAGGCTCGGACCAGGTCGGGTCAGAAACGTTCTCTGGTTGTTTGTAGATTTCAGACCCAGTGGACAAAATCCCTGGCTCCTGTTCCCACCATTCTGCCACCAGTTCTCACTGTGAATAAACTGTGGCCCTCTGATTACAGGCAGTGGCGTGAGAGTGTTTATAGAGAAGCTGTGTGTTTAGAGAATTGACAGTAGAATATCTATTGTTGTCAGAGCTGTGCCTGGAATGCTGCTGAATTTAACAATATGCTAGGCTACATGACGTTGGTTGGCTCGCTTATCATCGGACACTTGTTTTCTTGCATGAACGGAAAGTTCAAACATTATTGTGGTGAGAATCATTTTTTTGTGTCTTACATATTTAGGTATCATCTATCATTGTAAAAAAAAAGTCTGTCCTGCTCCTCTCCTCTCTACCTAACTTCCCCACATGCTCCCTTCAGTTTCCTTTAAGTCCTGTTAGTTTGGCTGCTCAGCCTACCTTAGTTATCCCTCACCCATCAGAGCCCTGCCATTCCCAACCAATCAGAACGCTTGGAAAATGCGCATCTGGACACTGCACCCGCCCACTCAGGTCAGAGTGTTATCGTCGTCCGAAGGGAGAAGACGTATGTTTCTGTGGACCTTTTATTGTCGACAGTAACACAAATGTCTGAATTGTTGTGCGTGCATTGAAATAACCACAACAATAAGATTCCAAGTCATTCGGATGACCAAAATCATATAAACATCCTCAAATGGAAATAGCTGTGTGGTGGTGGTGACTATCAAGAGTACAGTGATGGGCCTCATCATCATGTTCTAACCGGATAGCACTATAGAGGACAGAACCAAACCAATCAGTTATAAGTATATAGCGGGTGAGTTCATTCACAGCCGACCGCTCAGACGGGTGAGGGCATACCAGCCAACCATTTTTACGTGGTTCTTCTAGCTGGATTTAGTGACCAACAGTTTTTTTTACATGGTCCGCAATCTCTCCGGATTTAGCGACCAATAGTTTTAACAATTATGTGTACAGTATTTACATAACAACAGCAAACCCAGCCGCCCTATCCAGTGGGCTGTAATAACCGCAATGACTCACATTGCATTGCCTTTGTGTTATTACATTTGTCATGTGACAATATATTGCTTTTCACACCTCTAAAGCCTGACATGTGATCTCTAGACTAAAATATGTTCCAGACAGAGATCATTGTCTTCCCCTGACAGTGGATCAGGCTTTAGCTGTGATTGACCCGTTACATTGATGAGGCCACGTTGGCTGTCGCTGCATGATGGAGTCCATGTTTGATGTCCAGATGGGCTCGGTCGTAAAAGTATAGTAAATCTTGATTCAAGCGAGCGTTGGCCAATATGTTGGAGGTCGGAGCAGATTGACACTGATGCTGGAGGTACAAGACTAAGAGCAAGGATTGGGTGTGGAGTTTTACGATGTGGCTGCTCTCAGACCCACAGGTTCAATCCCAGACCCAGTCTGAGAGAGGTTTAACACCCCCAGCTCTGGTTTCAAACCCAGACCCAGTTTCAGACAGGTTTAAAACCCCCAGCTCTGGTTTCAAACCCAGACCCAGTCTCAGGCAAGTTTAAAACCCCCAGCTGGGGGATCACTTGACCATTGAATGAGATGGCCGCATGAACTGAGCTCTCCCAGACTCTATGTACACAGCCTGCATTACAGTGTTGCTCAGAAAAGACAAGGACCCTCTCTCCTGCTCGTCCTACCGGCCCATAAGCTTGTTGGATTTCCACTACAAAATAATCACCAAATTGCTCACCAAAAGACTAAACACTCTTCTACCCATAATAATAAAAGTGGACCAAACTGGATGTGGACCCCTGTCCTGTTGGCTTCACTGGATGCTGAGAAGGCGTTCGACAGGATGGATTGGAGCTTTCTGTTCTCAGTCTTACAAAAGTTCAATATGGGCCCAAACATTATTAAATGGATCAAGTCCCTAAATTCTCATCCAAATGCCATGGTGTCAACTAACGGTCTGAATTCTGACAGATTCCATTTGGGACGTGGCAAGGACGCTCACTGGCAGAGTTGATAAGGAGCTGCTATGATGAGTTTCTCCGGTATCAAGTAATTCAATATGCAAGAAGATAGTTAAACACTGGAGAGTTGATACATGTATTTAATATTACGGTACCGGGTTCAACATGACAAGCTGCATGTGGGTGGCCTATTGTCATTTGGACTCTTCACCGGATTCAACATAACAAGATACATGTGGGTTGCATGTCACTATTCGAATGAATTACATAGAAAACCTGTCAGTTTATATACTGCTTTGCAAGCTAATTCTATCCAACAGTTGCCAACCATTATTGGGTGTCACTCCCAACCACAATAGTATCACCCTATGTGGTATCGTCTTGCACCCTAGTCAGGATATTCCATCACATACTCCTTCTAAGATTAGCACCAGTGGCCCCCCCAGTCTTCCTTGGCACGCATACCTTCTGGCACCCACCAGTGACAGAAATAAATACATGGAATGTCCTTATCCTCAAAATCCTATGCAACACAATATCAAAGACATTAACAAATCCTGTGTAAAAGACGTCATATCAATCCCCTTTTTTCTCTCTTTATCTGTTGTCAGTCAAATTCCCCAGACCAAACAATTCACATAAAATTTGATTTCCAAAATAAAATATTCTCTCATAGCTTTAAATATGATTGGAGTAAATTCCCCATAGAACTCAATCAACATTATCAATGGATAACATAATATAGATGAATAATTTGTACTTTCCCCTCCATGAATTAATATTGACTGATACATATCTAGCTGTAATCACTAATCCCATCATGTATTTCTCTAATATTTCCCATATCTTTAGTTAAATTCCCAAAACCTTCCTATTCTGATGGCAAGTATGTACAACATGCATCTCCCCCTATAATCACATACACTCGCACCTTTAGTCGCTGTAAAATCATTCAATGCTTTGCGATTATTAATTGCATATTGTCTACTGAGTGCCATTTCAGACCCAATTGCTGGAAAACCCATGACTGTTAGTAGGTACCGTGTTTAGTCTGAACTCTGTTCTACCCTGACTCTGTTCCCATTAATATGCCCGAGGATAGAGGCAAAGGATAACACTCTGGTTTCAGTCACTGATAAATCAGTACAGCCTTGGATTATTTAGGATTGAGGAATTCAACCCAAGGTCAGATCAGATGAAAATAGCGTAAACGTTCCTATGTCACACACACCAAACCCCATGATAGGAACCAATTAAGTTCTTGCATATCAAACACGTATGTACCCCTGTCTCCATGTTCGTTGATTAACTACGTTGATCTTAAAGTTCACTGAGTCTGAAAAAACTTAACTATAGTCCACTGAAAAATCATCAACATATCCAAATTAATTATTCATCCCAAATTTAGAATGACAATGCTTAGTGACTCACATGGGTCTTATCACTCAAAGTTAAAACCCCTCAGCTTAGCACATATCACCACTCTCAGAATGTACACTTATATTACATACAGTATAACAATCCAGAATTCTAGTATTACCTTCCTCATCATGAGAATAACTACAGATCATTATCACAATGCATTCTTAATCCCAATTACTATAAATTTAGCAGTGTATATACCTCCTACATCAACCTGATACCCCAAATAATAATTTTAGATCAGTCAATCAATTACGGACACAGCTGACCAACCCCTTTCTTCCCCGGCACTCAATCATCTGGCGTTTCTTCATTATGTTCTTCAGATATCTTCATAGTTCAATGTGGATTGCCCATGATAATGTCCCAATTTCAATGTCTCATCCGAGTCACCACCATCTCTACCCCCATTCTGTCTTGTCCATTTGCCAACCAGTGTAACAACAACATGAGAAATGTTGTATTTGAACAGATCTCTCTCCATTCTCACTCCTCGTGGACTCCTGTCCCACTCCCCAGAGAAAAACATGAGACAAAAGCACTTGATACGTTCGACTGGCTGCTGTACACCGGTTGCAGGTAGAAGTGGTGCTGACAGGACCGTATTCAACACCTTTGTTGATAATCTTCAGTCGGTTTAGATTCACACCATTCTAGGCCGAATTATCCCTGCTATGCATCAACATTTACATTTTGCAGACGCTCTTATCCAGAGCAACTTACAGGAGCAATTAGGGTTAAGTGCCTTGCTCAAGGGGACATCAACAGATTTTTCACCTAGTCGGCTCAGGGATTAGAACCAGCGACCTTTCGGTTACTGGCACAAAGCTCTTAACCACTGAGCTACCTGCCGCCCCAACAAGACACCCTCTATAGTTACCTCGAGAGAGGACAGATCATAACAGTTTACTGAGTTCATTTCTAATCCACGAAATCCATATAAGCATTGAGTATATGACAAATTATTATGTTTTACCAATTATTCTTAATACCAATTTCTAATATACTCCCCTTATCAATCTGTCCATTACACCGCAGAGTCACAGGATCCGGAATCCTTTACCACCACAAAGTCTCCAGGGTGAAGAAAATGCTCAGATTCTCCTGCTACGTTGGGCAGAGAAGCCTTTACCTGTGGAGAAAGTCTTAAGAACATTGTTAGGTGAGACACCGTATGCTACTGTACCACGTCTTCTCATCAGTCAGGTGAAGCCTCGAGATTAGGAAGTGCACATTCTTGCAGCTTATTGTAGTATACTAGTTTCATAGACACAGGCCTCCTCTACACTCTGCCTCCTACCACAAATACATTTGCACATAAAACATTTCATCTAACCCATAACACATTCATTACTACTGCTCATATTCTTAATTCCATTTTCATATTTACCAAAAGCCCCAGGAAAAACAGTAATTCTCCCTTTGTACAGATGACTCACATCGTGATTCATGCGTTCAAAATTTTTTTAACAACAACAGTAAATCAAAATAACAAATCAATTTAGAATGACAACTCTTGATAACATATTAACTTAATTGTATCTCATAATGTATTTCAAGGTATAGTACGATTTACTAGCGACAGGTGTCCCTCATTCAGGGCTAGCGCGCTCTCTCTGTCATTGTTATGGTCCGAATCATATACAGTATATGACTATTGCCAAATTATAAACTTCTTCATAATTATCAGTATTACCAATGACCCCCAACTCGGTATAATAAATGACTTTAGATTCATCATCCTATGTCTCTCGGTTTTCCAGTGTGGGTTATCAAATCACACTAAAAAGTCAGGACAGAGGTCATTCAAACCCTTCAAAATAAGTGTTTCATTCTATAGTAGACTAATCATTAACAACAGTCAAAACATTTCATAAATTATGTATCCCAAGTGTACAGTAAGTCTTCATTACATCTCTTTTCAAAAAGAAATCATGTGTTTACCCAAAAACTCACTCAGAATACAAAACTTCAGAAAATCCATGTGTGTGTCCCTTTAAGATATATAATTTCTAACCCCCGAAAAACAAACAGAAAACAAAATAAAAGACCCTACCCAACTAACAAATATTCATAACAGGTGGGTTGTGTGAGCAGGTGTGTGTGGTAAAAGCTCCCTCTTACGACCGAATTATAAGACTGCCAAATTTTACTAACGGCTCCCTCCAGCCCACAGACTTGGGAAACATTCCAATGAGAGATAATGAAATCCCCATTCTCCTGGAAGAGAAAGTGTACGTTTCGTTAACATTCAGTTATAATCAGCAATCTAAAAATAGTACTTACACAAAAAAACATGATGCAGATAATTTCACTGTGCTACCTCACATCAATAATCGTTTGTTTCAATCTAATTCCGTGTTTCTACTCCAGAATAAGATGACCTAAACTCCCTAACAAGATGAAAACCACCCAAGGTTCTCTGAGTTTGCGATGAGTATTTTTAATTGATTACCCTTTAGACTCCGCTGTCTGTAAGGATTATTCAACCCCCCAAAAATCGTCTCCATTTGCTCCCATGTCAAATTATAATGGTATCGTTACTGGATCAACGACATTGTTAATATCTGTTTCACCTTAGATTGTTCCTGTCACCCCACTAAATGTCATATTTTATTCAGTCGCCAATATAATCAATTACTCCACATAAAGAATCAGTGATATTTGCTCCCAGGCATCTATTATCAAAGTTGTTTGAGACGTTGTCTCCTATGACTTCCTTCCACCAATCCTGGAAGATAGAATACTACTACACATCAGATAATACCATGTTTCACTAAGTGGAATAGACACCTATAAAATAAACCTATAACCCCTTTCCGGTAATCTAATCATCGCAACCTGTTGCATTGATTGATTTATTAAAAATATAAACCTGTTTATCACCAAATCTAGAACCTTCCTTCCCATCAGCATAATAGTAAAAACTAACTGTAACGTATTGTATCAACAGAACCCTTACATGTACACCATGTAGCGATTGCTGACATGCGGCGTGATACAAAATGTGACTATTCATAAACAATAATTCGTGCTCTCGCACATACAGTGAGCTCCATAATTCATTGGCCAGTGACCATTCTTTTGTTATTTTGGTTCTGTGCTCTAGCACTTTGAGATTGAAAGGATACAATGACAATGAGGGTGAAGTGCAGACTGTCAGCTTTAATTTGAGGGTATTTATGTTATCAAGTAAGGTCATTGCCACATCTCTATCACAATTGTCAGTCCGCTGTCATTAGAAGTCAGTACATCTAGGCAACTGTCCCTTCTGATTAGGCTACAGGTAGTAAACCAAACATCTACTGTTTTAAAAAAAACATTTTACATTTTAGTCATTTAGCAGACACTCTTATCCAGAGCGACTTACAGTTAGTGAGTGCATACATTATTTTTTCAATACCTTGGAATCTTTCTCCAGCTCTATGAAGACACTCTGCCCGTTCCAATGGAAGACACAGGGGTTTCAACACCTTGAAATATTTGTAACACAAGATCTGAACTGCCCATATCAAGGATAATTATCTCCCACTCCTGGATCGAATCAATAATATAATAATAATAATATAATATGCCATTTAGCAGACGCTTTTATCCAAAGCGACTTACAGTCATGTGTGCATACATTTTTACGTATGGAATCAAGAATGATATCCGAACCTTGATCTCCCTCCCAATTAGATTGGTCGGAAGAATCAATGTTATCCATATGAACATCCTCCCTAGATTGAACTATTTATTTCAGATGCTCCAATACTATATCCCAGTTTATTTTTTACATTTTACATTTTTACATTTTAGCAGACGCTCTTATCCAGAGCGACTTACAGTTAGTGAGTGCATACATTTTCATACTGGCCCCCCGTGGGAAACGAACCCACAACCCTGGCGTTGCAAGCGCCATGCTCTACCAACTGAGCTACAGGGGACTTGTTTTTTTTTGAACAACCAAATCAAATCAAATCAAATGTTATTTATGTGCCGAATACAACAGGTATAGACCTTACCGTGAAATGGTAAGTAATAAATAAAATAAAAAGTAACACAATAAAATAACAATAATGAGGCTATATACAGGGGGTACCGGTACTGAGTCAATGTGCGGGGGTACAGGTTATTCGAGGTAATTTGTACATGTAGGTAGGGGTAAAGTGACTATGCATAGATAATAAACAGCGAGTAGCAGCAGTGTAAAAACAAAGGGGGGGTGGGTATTTACCACCTAGTATATAGGTCCTGGATGGCAGGAAGCTTGGCCCCAGTGATGTACTGGGCCGTACGCTCTACCCTCTGTAGCACTTTACGGTCAGATGCTGAGCAGTTGCCGTACCATGCGGTGATGCAACCGGTCAGGATGCTCTCGATGGTGCAGCTGTAGAACCTTTTGAGGATCTGGAGACCCATGCCAAATCTATTCAGTCTCCTGAGTGGGAAAAGGTGTTGTCGTGCCCTCTTCACAACTGTCTTGGTGTGTTTGGACCATGATAGTTTGTTTGTTGTGTGGACACCAAGGAACTTTAAACTCTCGACCCGCTCCACTACAGCACCGTTGATGTTAATGGGTGCCTGTTCGGCCTGCCTTTTCCTGTAGTCTACGATCAGCTCCTTTGTCTTGCTCACATTGAGGGAGAGGTTGTTGTCCTGGCACCACACTGCCAGGTCTCTGACCTCTTCCTTATAGGCTGTCTCATCGTTGTCGGTGATCAGGCCTACCACTGTTGTGTCGTCGGCAAACTTAATGATGGTGTTGGAAGTCGTGTTTGGCCACGCAGTCGTGGGTGAACAGGGAGTACAGAAGGGGACTAAGCACGCACCCCTGAGGGGCCCCAGTGTTGAGGATCAGCGTGGCAGATGTGTTGTTGCCTACCCTTACCACCTGGGGGCGGCCCGTCAGGAAGTCCAGGATTCAGTTGCAGAGGGAGGTGTTTAGTCCCAGGGTCCTTAGCTTAGTGATGAGCTTTGTGGGCACTATGGTGTTTAACACTGAGCTGTAGTCAATGAACAGCATTCTCACATAGGTGTTCCTTTTGTCCAGGTGGGAAAGGGCAGTGTGTAGAGTGATTGAGATTGCGTCATCTGTGGATCTGTTGGGGTGGTATGCGAATTGGAGTGGGTCTAGGGTTTCCAGGATGATGGTGTTGATGTGAGCCATGACCAGCCTTTCAAAGCACTTCATGGCTACCGTCATGAGTGCTACCTGGGCGGTAATCATTTAGGAAGCATCACCAAATGTACATGGGTCAATAAAAAACCTAGGATCTTTCTCCACTCTATGGAAACCTGAATCTAAGGGTGTTCTTGCCCTTCCTTCCTTGCCTACTGTACCACTGGTCTTCCCAAATCCTCAACGTGCTAACATGGATCACAAACGGACAAGACTCAATGTGGGTTCAGATAGAGGCCCAATCCTGTGGTTCATTGCCCCTAAGCTCAATTATATTCATGAATAACTTTAGTGAAGTGGGCAACGTACCCAAAACCTTTGTGATTTACAGCACTCTACTAGCATGGAAGGACTGTAAGAAATATATGCTCTCACTCTCCTATAGTATGCAACCCAGACTTGCCAAAAGCCCTGAGTGATGCCAACTTTAATCTTTAGGGATCAGGACCTTCTCAGACCTGTTTCATTAGAACACAACTACACTGAAATCCTTTCAAGATCTCTGCAGGGAATTCAACGTGCCAAGATATACTGTATATTTTTTTTAAATATCTTCAAATTAGACATGTAATTTCCTCATTCACTTCCAAGGGGAGGTTTAGAGGTCAGCTGAATGAAGTTGAGACCCTTCTTGCTACAGCACAATCCATGAAAGGCAAAATCTCCTTTATCTATAGAATCCTTTCTGAGAATGTGGGCTCCTCCTTTACTCCTTTGAAACTCACCACTCTCAGTGGTGAGTTATGGGCGGATGTTTGTCACAGGGTTTCACTGCTCCTGTACTAATGTAAAAATGAAAGAATCTACAGTAGTTACAGACATTTCTCCTGATTGTAAAAGATGTACCTCTGAAAGTGGAACCTACAGTACCAGTCAAAAGTTTGGACACACCTACTCATTCCAGGGTTTTTCTTTATTTTTACTATTTTCTACATTGTAGAATAATAGTAATGACATCAAAACTATGAAATAACACATATGGAATCATGTAGTAACCAAAAAAGTGTTAAACAAATCAAAATATATTTTATTTATGAGATTCTTCAAAGTAGCCACCCTTTGCCTTGATGACAGCTTTGCACACTTTTGGCAGGACTTTGTTCTTGATCCAGACAGAGAAAATGACTATCACATACTTTGCTAAAAAATGTACATTCCTACTGAGGCTTCTAATTCTTCTCCTACATTTAAAATGTGGATTGACCAGACTGTTTACTTTCTTCCTCTTGAAAAGCTAATTGATGACCTCCGCAAGAGACAGCCCAGGTTCGATAGACCCTGGTCTCCACTACTCAACTATATTTCAAATTGGACAGAGTGGATGATTAGGGACATGAGTCTATATACAGTGGGGAGAACAAGTATTTGATACACTGCCGATTTTGCAGGTTTTCCTACTTACAAAGCATGTAGAGGTCTGTAATTTTTATCATAGGTACACTTCAACTGTGAGAGACGGAATCTAAAACTAAAATCCAGAAAATCACATTGTATGATTTTAAAGTAATTAATTTGCATTTTATTGCAAGACATAAGTATTTGATCACCATTAGTACAGGATCAGTAAACCCGACTCTCACAGACCTGTTAGTTTTTCTTTAAGAAGCCCTCCTGTTCTCCACTCATTACCTGTATTAACTGCACCTGTTTGAACTTGTTACCTGTATAAAAGACACCTGTCCACACACTCAATCAAACACACTCCAACCTCTCCACAATGGCCAAGACCAGAGAGCTGTGTAAGGACATCAGGGATACAATTGTAGACCTGCACAAGGCTGGGATGGGCTACAGGACAATAGGCAAGCAGCTTGGTGAGAAGGCAACAACTGTTGGCGCAATTATTAGAAAATGGAAGAAGTTAAAGATGACGGTCAATCACCCTCGGTTTGGGGCTCCATGCCAGATCTCACCTCGTGGGGCATCAATGATCATGAGGAAGGTGAGGGATCAGCCCAGAACTACATGGCAGGACCTGGTCAATGACCTGAAGAGAGCTGGGACCACAGTCTCAAAGAAAACCATTAGTAACACACTTCGCCGTCATGGATTAAAATCCTGCAGCGCACGCAAGGTCCCCCTGCTCAAGCCAGCGCATGTCCAGGCCCGTCTGAAGTTTGCCAATGACAATCTGGATGATCCAGAGGAGGAATGGGAGAAGGTCATGTGGTCTGATGAGACAAAAATAGAGCTTTTTGGTCTAAACTCCACTCGCCGTGTTTGGAGGAAGAAGAAGGATGAGTACAACCCCAAGAACACCATCCCAACCGTGAAGCATGGAGGTGGAAACATCATTCTTTGGGGATGCTTTTCTGCAAAGGGGACAGGACGACTGTACCGTATTGAGGGGAGGATGGATGGGGCCATGTATCGCGAGATCTTCCCTCAGTAAGAGCATTGAAGATGGGTCGTGGCTGGGTCTTCCAGCATGACAATGAGCCGAAACACACAGCCAGGGAAACTAAGGAGTGGCTCCGTAAGAAGCATCCCAAGGTCCTGGAGTGGCCTAGCCAGTCTTCAGACCTGAATCCAATAGAAAATCTTTGGAGGGAGCTGAAAGTCCGTATTGCCCAGCGACAGCCCCGAAACCTGAAGGATCTGGAGAAGGTCTGTATGGAGGAGTGGGCCAGAATCCCTGCTGCAGTGTGTGCAAACCTGGTTAAGACCTACAGGAAACCTATTATCTCTGTAATTGCAAACAAAGGTTTCTGTACCAAATATTATGTTCTGCTTTTCTGATGTATCAAATACTTATGTCATGCAATAAAATGCAAATGAATTACTTAAAAATCATACAATGTGATTTTCTGGATTTTAGTTTTAGATTCCGTCTCTCACAGTTGAAGTGTACCTATGATAAAATTACAGACCTCTACATGCTTTGTAAGTAGGAAAACCTGCAAAATCGGCAGTGTATCAAATACTTGTTCTCCCCACTGTACATGATGTGTAAGGGGCTGTAAAAACTAACTCTTTGCTCATTGTCTCAGCTAAAGCTGGAAAAAGCTAACATGATCACAGATAGTGCTGCTGCAAATGTGTTGTTGTTTGTTTTGTTTTATATTTTATTTTATTATATGATTTATGTCTGCCACATCTGTGAATGTAGAATGTGTTTTGTCTGTTGATTGCAAAACCTTTTTTTACAACTTTTTATTTTATTTTTTCAAACCCAGACCAAGTCTCAGGCAAGTTTAAAACCCCCCAGCTCTGGTTTCAAACCCAGACCCAGTCACAGGCAAGTTTAAAACCCCCCAACTCTGGTTTCAAACCCAGACCCAGTCTCAGACAGATTTAACCCCAGTATAAGACTAAGAGCGAAGAGTGGTGGCTTACGATGTGGTGCTCAGAACCACCGGTAACAGGTTCAGACCCTATAGTCTCAGACAGTTCAAATCCCAGACTCCCAGACGTTGACTGTCCCTCTGGGGCCACCGTAGCCCAGGATGACCTCCATGGAAGGTTAGAGGGAGATAAAGAAAGCGCCTTCGGGTTTATAGACAGAGGAAACCAAAAAAGTTTCCTTATGACATTTAGGTGTTCCGTAAGAGCCCCTTCAGAATCAGACAGCCCTATCTCTCTCGCCATGGCTGAATGCTGGCCTGCTTTTTCAAGTTGTACGATTTAATGTCACATGCACACATGTACATTGAAATGCCTTTCTTGCTAACTCAAAACCCAACAATGCAATAATCAATAACAATGTAATACAACAAAAAAAAAAAACACACGATAAATAAGAATAAATCTAAAGAACACAATAAGTAAGTAAGCATCCTATATACAGGGTCAGTTCCAATACCATACTATATACAGGGTCAGTTCCAATACCATACTATATACAGGGTCAGTTCCAATACCATATTTACAATGTGCAGGGATACTGGAGTGATGGAGGTAGATATGTATAGGGGTAAGCATACTATATACAGGGTCAGTTCCAATACCATATTTACAATGTGCAGGGATACTGGAGTGATGGAGGTAGATGTGTATAGGGGTAAGCATACTATATACAGGGTCAGTTCCAATACCATATTTACAATGTGCAGGGATACTGGAGTGATCGAGGTAGATGTGTATAGGTGTAAGGTGACTAGGCAACAGGATATAAGATAAACAGAGCAGCAGCAGCTTGTATGTGAGTGGGTGTGCGGATTTGTAGAGTCAGTATAAATGTATGTGCATATTATGTGTGAGCGAGCAGATGATAGAGTGTGTGTGAGTGTATAGGGTCCTGTGAGTGTTGGAGTGACAGTGTGTGTAGGGCCCTGTGAGTCTTGGAGTGACAGTGTGTGTGAGTGTGTGAGTGTTGGAGTGACAGTGTGTGTAGGGCCCTGTGAGTCTTGGAGTGACAGTGTGTGTAGGGCCCTGTGAGTCTTGGAGTGACAGTGTGTGTAGGGCCCTGTGAGTCTTGGAGTGACAGTGTGTGTGAGTTTGTGAGTGTTGGAGTGACAGTGTGTGTAGGGCCCTGTGAGTCTTGGAGTGACAGTGTGTGTGAGTTTGTGAGTGTTGGAGTGACAGTGTGTGTAGGGCCCTGTGAGTCTTGGAGTGACAGTGTGTGTGAGTGTGTGAGTGTTGGAGTGACAGTGTGTGTAGGGCCCTGTGAGTCTTGGAGTGACAGTGTGTGTGAGTGTGTGAGTGTTGGAGTGACAGTGTGTGTAGGGCCCTGTGAGTCTTGGAGTGACAGTGTATGTAGGGCCCTGTGAGTCTTGGAGTGACAGTGTGTGTAGGGCCCTGTGGGTCTTGGAGTGACAGTGTGTGTGAGTTTGTGAGTGTTGGAGTGACAGTGTGTGTAGGGCCCTGTGAGTCTTGGAGTGACAGTGTGTGTAGGGCCCTGTGAGTCTTGGAGTGACAGTGTGTGTGAGTCTGTAGGGCCCTGTGAGTCTTGGAGTGACAGTGTGTAGGGCCCTGTGAGTCTTGGAGTGACAGTGTGTGTAGGGCCCTGTGAGTCTTGGAGTGACAGTGTGTGTGAGTGTGTGAGTGTTGGAGTGACAGTGTGTGTAGGGCCCTGTGAGTCTTGGAGTGACAGTGTGTGTAGGGCCCTGTGAGTCTTGGAGTGACAGTGTGTGTAGGGCCCTGTGAGTCTTGGAGTGACAGTGTGTGTGAGTCTGTGAGTGTTGGAGTGACAGTGTGTGTAGGGCCCTGTGAGTCTTGGAGTGACAGTGTGTGTAGGGCCCTGTGAGTATTGGAGTGACAGTGTGTGTAGGGCCCTGTGAGTCTTGGAGTGACAGTGTGTGTGAGTTTGTGAGTGTTGGAGTGACAGTGTGTGTAGGGCCCTGTGAGTCTTGGAGTGACAGTGTGTGTGAGTCTGTAGGGCCCTGTGAGTCTTGGAGTGACAGTGTGTAGGGCCCTGTGAGTCTTGGAGTGACAGTATGTGTAGGGCCCTGTGAGTCTTGGAGTGACAGTGTGTGTGAGTGTGTGAGTGTTGGAGTGACAGTGTGTGTAGGGCCCTGTGAGTCTTGGAGTGACAGTGTGTGTAGGGCCCTGTGAGTCTTGGAGTGACAGTGTGTGTGAGTGTGTAGGGCCCTGTGAGTCTTGGAGTGACAGTGTGTGTGAGTGTGTGAGTGTTGGAGTGACAGTGTGTGTAGGGCCCTGTGAGTCTTGGAGTGACAGTGTGTGTAGGGCCCTGTGAGTCTTGGAGTGACAGTGTGTGTAGGGCCCTGTGAGTCTTGGAGTGACAGTGTGTGTAGGGCCCTGTGAGTCTTGGAGTGACAGTGTGTGTAGGGCCCTGTGAGTCTTGGAGTGACTGTGTGTGTAGGGCCCTGTGAGTGTTCATAGAGACAGTGCAAAAATAAAAAGGTCAATGAGGATACAAGGTTAACTCAGATAGTCTGTGTATCTATTATGTCAGCTATTTATCTGTCTTATTGCTTGGGGATAGAACCTGTTCAAGAGCCTGTTGGTGCCAGTCCTGATGCACCGGTACCGCCTGCCGTGCGGAGGCAGAGAGAATAGCCTATGGCTTGGGTGGCTGGAGTCTTTAACGATTTTCCAGATCTTCTGTAACGGGACTTCTTGTACTGATATAGCGGGCCTTCTTGTACTGTCCGTATCCGTTTTGAAACTTTCCTGCCTCTCTCTCCGTGCGTTGTGTTCAGTGTCAACAGCAGTAGAACCAGCAGGATCCTCTGACCTTTCCCCTTCACTACACAACACCGGCAACATGAACGGCCGGCCAAAGCTGTTTTGGTGAAGCTGTGACGCTGTGGGACTGACGGGAGGAGTGAGGTCATAATCCCCACTAACCCCCACCTTTTGACAGTGAGGAACGTATGTAACTCCTTAGCCATACATCTTTAATTAAATAAGAAAGATAGCTTTTTGTCATTGTTAAAGTCACTGACAAAGAGTGGGCCACCAACAAAGAGGAGAGAGATGGCTTACGGTGCTTAAATGAGGGACCAAACTTCTGACAGAACCAAGTAACTACTCAGTACTCTTAAAAAGTGAGGTTAGTTGCACTGTGTAAAATGTACATGGCATACTGTGCCATCAAAAAGTGGAATTGACCACCAACACAAATCTGAAACAACGGACCAAATGCCTCCCATAAGGGGAAATGGTTTGGAGTGATTTTCATAAATTGATTAGAGAAATCCAATGGAAACAGTTGGACATTTCTACATTTTGAGTAGAATACAACTGACATTCTCACTTTCCTAAGAGCGGGAAAGGTGTCATACATTTCACTGGCTTATACAACTACTAGTATACTCAACGCTGGTAATTATGGAAACATACGGTAGTCTTTCACTCTATAGGCTAAAGAGGCATCGCTCTCGCTTTAAGGGTAGCACCACCTCAACTTTATAAAATCAGTGAATTAGCATGACTACAGTCCCCTGTAGCTCAGTTGGTAGAGCATGGCGCTTGCAACGCCAGGGTTGTGGGTTCGATTTCCACGGGGGGACCAGTATGAAAATGTATGCACTCACTAACTGTAAGAGCGTCTGCTAAATGACTAAAATGTACAGCATCCTACAATGGTAGTGCTCTTGAAATATACTTGGCTGCGTCCAAAATGGCTCCCTATATAGTGCACTACTTTTGACCAGAGCCCATAGGGTCAGTGGTGCACTATAATACGGGGCCATTTCAGACGCAACCACGGTTCGGTAATGCTCTTCTCTTGAAACACGGTTCGGTAATGCTCTTCTCTTGAAACACGGTTCGGTAATGCTCTTCTCTTGAAACACGGTTCGGTAATGCTCTTCTCTTGAAACACGGTTCGGTAATGCTCTTCTCTTGAAACACGGTTCGGTAATGCTCTTCTCTTGAAACACGGTTCGGTAATGCTCTTCTCTTGAAACACGGTTTGGTAATGCTCTTCTCTTGAAACACGGTTCGGTAATGCTCTTCTCTTGAAACACGGTTTGGTAATGCTCTTCTCTTGAAACACGGTTCGGTAATGCTCTTCTCTTGAAACACGGTTCGGTAATGCTCTTCTCTTGAAACACGGTTCGGTAATGCTCTTGAAACACGGTTTGGTAATGCTCTTCTCTTGAAACACGGTTCGGTAATGCTCTTCTCTTGAAACACGGTTCGGTAATGCTCTTCTCTTGAAACACGGTTCGGTAATGCTCTTCTCTTGAAACACGGTTCGGTAATGCGAGTGTGCGCGCCAGGAAGCTTTGGGTCAGCAGCAGTGTTTAGACAATGGGATTATCCCTGCCGACTGACACTAATCTCACTGTGGTGAAGTCTTTACAGCACTGTACCCACTCACCGCACAACGTTTTCACACACACACACACACACACACACACACACACACACACACACACACACACACCACACACACACACACACCACACAGACACACACAGACACACACACACAGACACACACACACACACACACAGACACACACACACACACACACACACACACACACACACACAGGCTTATGCTGTTATGTTGTTTTGTCAGTTGTAATGTAGGTGATGCTAGACACTCGACCAAAAACACTGCAGGGAAAATGGAGTCAGTGGGACAACATTACTCACAACATGGACTGTTATCCTTTTCATGTTACCATGTGTAGGCTGGATGTTGGACTGGATGATTTTTGCATATTTTGGACACTGAATGTTATCAAATATTCAACCAAAACCTAATATTAGATAATGGGAACCCGAGTTTACAAATAAAACAAATGTTTTCATTTATTTAATAAACTAAGTTATGCAACACCCAATGCCCCAGTGTGAAAACGTAATTGCTCCCCTTACAGTCAATAACTGGTTGTGCCACCTTTAGCTGCAATGACTGCAACCAAACGCTTCCTGTAGTTGTTGACCAGTCTCTCACATCGCTGTGGAGGAATTGACGTTGGTTGGCTTTAAGGGCATGAGCACCTTGTTTCAAGTCCTGCCACAACATTTCAATTGTGATTAGGTCTGAAACTTCAAACGTGTTGCTTTTTAGCCATTTTCATGTAGACTTGATTGTGTAATGGATCATTGTCTTGCTGCACGACCCAGCTGTGCTTCAGCTTCAGCTCACAGACAGATGGCCTGACATTCTCCTGTAGAATTCATGGTTCCTTCTATTAAGGCAAGTCGTCCAGGTCCTGAGGCAGCAAAGCATCCCCAAACCATCACATCACCACCACCATGCTTGACCGTTGGTATGAGGTTCTTACTGTGGAATGCAGTGTTTGGTTTTCGCCAGGCACAATGGGACCCATGTCGTCCAATTATTAGACCACGCCCATTTCAAGCTTATCTTTGTAAAAAAAATTACGTGTTTTATCCGAATATTTAGGCTAGTTAGCGTGCTTACCCCTTGATCCTGCTTTGTAGTATAACCCTCAGTTCACCACCATGGAGAGAGAGATCCCCCTGTCTCCCGTCCCCTCCCTTCCCCTCCGACTATGGTACGATCTGAGAGAGAGTGGGAGAGGGAGGGAGAGAGGGAGCGGGAGAGAGAGCGAGAGGAAGAGACCCTCCTGTCTGTCATCCCCTCCCTTCCCCTCCGACGTTGGTACGATCTGAGAGAGAGTGGGAGAGGGAGTGAGTGAGTGAGTGAGTGAGTGAGTGAGTGAGTGAGTGAGTGAGTGAGTGAGTGAGAGAGAGAGAGAGAGAGAGAGAGAGAGAGAGAGAGAGAGAGAGAGAGAGACTGCCCTCAGACAGAGGTAGGTACGGTCCAAAAGGCTGGTGGTTTGTTTGCTTGGGAAAGGAGAATATCCTCTGAGGTCAAGTCAAACAGGATGTGCTAGAGTGTGGTCCCTCTCTCCTATTGGCCCTGGGTATAATGCTCACTCGCAGCGGAGGCACCACACACACATAGTTGCAGGCACACACACACACACACACACACAGACAACTCCTCCCCCATACATACCATACGACCACCAGCTTAGTTTAGCTACATGTTTCTGTGACAGCCTAGCTAGTTATATTTACCTTTAAAGCAGAGGTTGTGATTAGAGTAGAGTAATCACAACAGGCTTGTTTAAATAAGGACCTTGGATTGGAAATATTTCTCTACACTAAAGCTAATAAACAGAGGATTGCGTCCCAAATTGCACCCCATTCCCTATATAGTGCACTACCTTTGATCGGGGCTGGTTAAAAGTAGCGCACTAAATGGGGAACAGGGTGCCATCTGGGATGCAGCCAGAGACTGCTAGCTAGTGATGAAGCAACACATCGTGACAAGGCAGTCAGAGAAATGTCCACATCAGCAAAATGCAGTTTATACAGTGGGGAGAACAAGTATTTGATACACTGCCGATTTTGCAGGTTTTCCTACTTACAAAGCATGTAGTGGTCTGTAATTTTTTATCATAGGTACACTTCAACTGTGAGAGACGGAATCTAAAACAAAAATCCAGAAAATCACATTGTATGATTTTTAAGTAATTAATTTGCATTTTATTGCATGACATGAGTATTTGATCACCTACCAACCAGTAAGAATTCCGGCTCTCACAGACCTGTTAGTTTTTCTTTAAGAAGCCCTCCTGTTCTCCACTCATTACCTGTATTAACTGCACCTGTTTGAACTTGTTACCTGTATAAAAGACACCTGTCCACACACTCAATCAACAGACTCCAACCTCTCCACAATGGCCAAGACCAGAGAGCTGTGTAAGGACATCAGGGATACAATTGTAGACCTGCACAAGGCTGGGATGGGCTACAGGACAATAGGCAAGCAGCTTGGTGAGAAGGCAACAACTGTTGGCGCAATTATTAGAAAATGGAAGAAGTTCAAGATGACGGTCAATCACCCTCGGTCTGGGGCTCCATGCAAGATCTCACCTCGTGGGGCATCAATGATCATGAGGAAGGTGAGGGATCAGCCCAGAACTACACGGCAGGACCTGGTCAATGACCTGAAGAGAGCTGGGACCACAGTCTCAAAGAAAACCATTAAAACCCTCATGGATTAAACCACACGCAAGGTCCCCCTGCTCAAGCCAGCGCATGTCCAGGCCCGTCTGAAGTTTGCCAATGACCATCTGGATGATCCAGAGGAGGAATGGGAGAAGGTCATGTGGTCTGATGATACAAAAATAGAGCTTTTTGGTCTAAACTCCACTCGCCGTGTTTGGAGGAAGAAGAAGGATGAGTACAACCCCAAGAACACCATCCCAACCGTGAAGCATGGAGGTGGAAACATCATTCTTTGGGGATGCTTTTCTGCAAAGGGGACAGGACGACTGCACCGTATTGAGGGGAGGATGGATGGGGCCATGTATCGCGAGATCTTGGCCAACAACCTCCTTCCCTCAGTAAGAGCATTGAAGATGGGTCGTGGCTGGGTCTTCCAGCATGACAATGACCCGAAACACACAGCCAGGGCAACGAAGGAGTGGCTCCGTAAGAAGCATCTCAAGGTCCTGGAGTGGCCTAGCCAGTCTCCAGACCTGAACCCAATAGAACATCTTTGGAGGGAGCTGAAAGTCCATATTGCCCAGCGACAGCCCCGAAACCTGAAGGATCTGGACAAGGTCTGTATGGAGGAGTGGGCCAGAATCCCTGCTGCAGTGTCTGCAAACCTGGTCAAGACCTACAGGAAACCTATGATCTCTGTAATTGCAAACAAAGGTTTCTGTAGCAAATATTATGTTCTGCTTTTCTGATGTATCAAATACTTATGTCATGCAATAAAATGCAAATTAATTACTTAAAAATCATACAATGTGATTTTCTGGATTTTTGTTTTAGATTCCGTCTCTCTATGTTAATAATTACAGACCTCTACATGCTTTGTAAGTAGGAAAACCTGCAAAATTGGCAGTGTATCAAATACTTGTTCTCCCCACTGTACACAATCCATGTCTCAATTGTCTCAAGGCTTGACAATCCTTCTTTAACCGGTCTCCTCCCCTTCCTCTACACTGATTGAAGTGGATTTAACAAGTGACATCAATAAGGGATCATAGCTTTCACCTGGACTCACCTGGTCAGTCTATGTCATGGAAAGAGCAGGTGTTCATAATATTTTGTATACTCAGTGTATATTTTTGTCCCAAAACCGTACTTTACATATTTCATGATATATTAGATGTTCGTTCCGTAGCGACACGTGAAGATTTACCAACGTGCTCACTCATTTTCTCAAAAATGTTTGCAGACTACTCACCATGTGGTCATAGTGGAGAGGGGTGCAATCCCATCCCCTGGTGAAATTTGGATGGGTGTGGCTTATGGCAGTCTTTTAAAGTGTGTGTTTTGGTAGTGACATCAAAAGTGGGGACAACATTTTTCAGAGAAAGATGTTTAAAAATAAACAAAACGTATAATTAGATCCGTATCTTTCAATGTAATGATAAAATAACTCAAGATGTTCTATTGAAATACTGCCGCTCCTCATCTCATCATTCCATTTGTTTTGTCTTGTTTATTACACACACCTGGTTTCAATTCCCCTCATCAGTACCTGTATAAGTGTTCCCTCTGCCCCCTTGTCTTTGTGTGAGATTGTTTATTGTGGAGGTTATATGAGCTCGGTGGAGCTCCTTGTACGTTGTATCGACATGTAGACGGAATAAACCTTTATTCTGTGATTTACCCTCCTGCGCCTGACTCCGTCCAAATCACATGCCACAGAATCACACACCCGCCATGGAATCAGCAGGAGAAGAGCCCATGCCTGGAATCATTGCACGGGTCCACGAGCATTCCAGGATGCTCACCAGCTTAGGAGAAGCGATGGATCGGGTTCTCCAGGTCGTCCAACGCCTGGAGAGGAGAGGACCCGACCCATCGGGACCAGCTGAGCAACCAGATCCAGCCACCCACACTCCAGCACCCTGAGGGATTCATCTATCCCGACCGATGGAGTTTGACGGGACGGCTGCCCGCTGCCAGGGATTCCTCCTGCAGCTGGACCTCTACATCGTGAACATCAGCCCGGCTCCATCGGAGCGGGAGAAGGTGTCTGCCCTCGTCTCCTGCCTCTCGGGGAAAGCCCTGGAGTGGGCCAATGCGGTCTGGAGAGAAGGAGGAACCGCGTTGGACAACTACGGGGAGTTTGCTCGCCTCTTCCGGGCGGTCTTCGACCACCCGCCCGAAGGACGAGAGGCGGGCGTGCGTCTGGTCCAACTGAGGCAGTGGACGAGGACCGCGCAGGACTTCGCCCTAGAGTTTCTGATCCTAGCGGTTGGGTCCGGGTGGAACAAGCAGGCCCTGATCGACGGATTTCCGGTGCAGCCTGCGAGAGGACGTCAGAGGGGAGCTATCCTGCAGGGATCCCATATTAACCTTCGACCAGCTGGTGGACATGGCCATCCGGTTGGACAACCTGCTGGCGGCTAGAGGATGTCCTGGGAGTGGCCTGCCCGTTTCACCCCCCCCAACTCGGAGTCCGTTTCGATGGAGCAGCGATCCGGGAGAACAGAGGACAGCTCAGTGTCACTCTTTTGGCAGAAGAGGACATTATACTGCACACTGTCGTCAGTGTTCTTCCGGGTCTGGAGGCGGCAGGCAGGGTACTCTCGCATCACCCCAGGTAGCGCAAACCCACCCTCGGTCAGAGCCCTCTACTGCACACGTCACCTTCCCTGACTACCCAGTAGTTTCCCAGTGGAAGGCGCTGGTCGATTCAGGCGCAGCTGGGAACTTTATGGACAGGTCGTTAGCTCTAAGTCTAGGTATTCCATTGGTTCCCCTATCCACTCCACTGCCCATCAAAGCACTTGACAGTCGACCATTAGGGTCAGGGTTTTTTAGGGAAGTTACAGCACCAGTCACGATGGTTACCCAAAGGACCCATAGAGAGCATTTCAAATTCTGTATTATTTTGTCCTCCGATTTCCCTGTTGTTGTTGGTCTTCCCAGGTAAGCACTACACAACCCCACCTTTGCATGGCCGCAGAGGGTTCTCATGGGGTGGTCGCTAGAGTGTCAGGGTAGGTGCCTAGCTGATTCCGTTGGTGTCCAGACACTTCCTCCACCGTGCGCACCCCCCCCCCCCCCCCCCCCCCCCGAAATATAAATATTTTTTGGGGTGAAACAAACAGGAAATAAGACAAGAAAAACAGAACTTGAGCATGCATAACTATTCACCCCAGTCAAAACTTTGTAGAGCCACCTTTTGCAGCAATTACAGCTGCAAGTCTCTTGAGGTGTGTCTCTATAAGCTTGGCTTTTTTCCCATTCTTCAAGGCAAAACTGCTCCAGCTCCTTCAAGTTGGATGGGTTCCGCTGGTGTACAGCAATCTTTAAGTCATACCACAGATTCTCAATTGGATTGAGGTCTGGGCTTTGACTAGGCCATTCCAATACATTTAAATGTTTCCCCTTAAACCACTCAAGTGTTGCTTTAGCAGTATGCTTAGGGTCATTGTCCTGCTGGAATGTGAGCCTCCGTCCCAGTCTCAAATCTCTGGAAGACTGAAACAGGTTTCCCTCAAGAATTTCCCTGTATTTAGCGCCATCCATCATTCCTTCAATTCTGACCAGTTTCCCAGTCCCTGCCGATGAAAAACATCCCCACAGCATGATGCTGCCACCACCATGCTTCACTGTGGGGATGGTGTTCTCGCGGTGATGAGAGGTGTTGGGATTGCGCCAGACATAGCATTTTACTTGATGGCCAAAAAGCTTAATTTTAGTCTCATCTGACCAGAGTGCCTTCTTCCATATGTTTGGGGAGTCTCCCACAAACGTGTTTGCTTATTTTTTTCTTTAAGCAATGGCTTTTTTCTTGCAACTATTCCGTATAACCCAGCTCTGTGGAGTGTATGGCTTAAAGTGGTCCTATGGACAGATACTCCAATCTCCGCTGTGGAGCTTTGCAGTTCCTTCAGGGTTATCTTTGGTCTCTTTGTTGCCTCTCTGATTAATGCCCTCCTTACCTGGTCTGTGAGTTTTGGTGGGCGACCCTCTCTTGGCAGGTTTGTTGTGGTGCCATATTCTTTCAATTTTTTTATAATGGATTTAATGGCGCTCCGTGGGATGTTCAAAGTTTCTGATATTTTTTTATAACCCAACCCTGATCTGTACTTCTCCACAACTTTGTCCCTGACCTGTTTGGAGAGCTCCTTGGTCTTCATGGTGCCACTTGCTTGGTGGTACCCCTTGCTTAGTGGTGTTGCAGACTCTGGGGCCTTTCAGAACAGGTGTATATATACTGAGATCATGTGACAGATCATGTGACACTTAGATTGCACACAGGTGGACTTTATTGAACTAATTATGAATTCTTAAGGTAATTTTTTGCACCAGATCTTATTTAGGGGCTTCATAGCAAAGGGGGTGAATACATATGCACGCACCAGTTTTACGTGATTAATTCTTTTCAATTTTTTGAAACAAGTTATAATTTTCATTTCACTTCACCAATTTTTGACTATTTTGTGTATGTCCATTACATGAAATCCAAATAAAAATCCATTTAAAATACAGGTTGTAATGCAACAAAGTAGGAAAAACGCCAAGGGGGATGAATACTTTTGCAAGGCTTTGTACATTAAAAATATGTTACGGAGGTTTTTGTTTTTATAAAAGCGAAATTAGTGCTGTGTTCACATCTCTCCCAACTGAACTTTTGTGAACGGCTGTATTAATCATTCTGAGCAATAGTGGACCTAATTGATTCCAAAATGTTAAATAGACCTCAGAAGGAATACCGTCCCATCCAGCTGATTTGCCTTTATTCATGCTATCCAATGCCATTTTAGTTAATTGACAGAGATTTGGCCTCCCAGTGAGGTGGCTTCCTCTGTTGGGAGAAGAGTTCTTAATTATTTTAGAAAGGACTTAGTCTGGCAGTATGAATTTACAATCAAAGCTGAACAGTTCTTTATAGAAGCGGGAGAATCTTTGATTTATTAATTTGAGTTCTGATAGTAATTCCCCTGTTTCAGATTCAACAGTTGCTATATCAGCTAATTTATCATTACTGCGTAGCGTGTTGATGATTACCATGGAAGTAATGGTTGAGTCTAACTCGATGGATGGCAAATTCTGCTCTCTGTCTTATCAATAAATTCAGTTCTGTCTTGACTTTGGAAAGAGTAATAGCTACCTGGTCTGAAAAGAGTGCTTGTTAAGAACGCTCTAACACAGTTAACAACATTTCTTCTTTCTGACATCTTCTTTAATTGTGATTTATTCAACCCAAATGTAGTTGGATAATTTTTTTATAAAAACCTTTGGTAGCATCCCATAGAATCCGGGTGAATCGTCTGAATTTTTATTGGTAATTTGGAGTTCAAATTTCAAATTCATCACAGAATGTAGGAATTTGTAGCAATGAAATGTTGAAACGCCGCCATCTTGTGGCTCTTTTAGGAGATTCTGAAATATGAAGTTGGCAGTAGTAGGTGTGGTGATCAGACAAGCTCAAATGTCGAATTTCTATTTTGTTGATTAAGGAAAATAGAGGTGTAGATAATAGCATGAAATCGATTCATGGGAATGATTTATGCCTGTTTGAGTGGAAAGTGTACTTTAGGATTATGTGCTCACCAGGCATCAATGAGGTTGTAATCAGAGAGTATATGCTGGACAGCCTTGGTTGCTTGTGGATTGTAGTTGGTCTTATTAGATTTGTCTCCCATGTCCAAAATGGCATTCATGTCTGTCCCAATAACCAGATGGAATTCTGTTAATTCTAACAATATGTTGTTCAGAGTATCAAAAAAATGTAGGATCGTATGAATTTGGAGTATACATATCAATAAAGGCAATTTTCCTTCCATTATGGATACATTTAAGGAAATGGATTCTGCCTTCTTGGTCCTCACCTTTACCAACAATAGTGAGTTTGAGTTTATTATGTACAGTGAGGGAAAAAAGTATTTGATCCCCTGCTGATTTTGTACGTTTGCCCACTGACAAAGAAATGATCAGTCTATAATTTTAATGGAAGGTTTATTTAAACAATGAGAGACAGAATAACAACAAAAAAATCCAGAAAAACGCATGTCAAAAATGTTATAACTGACTTTTTCCGACATAACTTAGGTACCCCCTTATTGTATGGGATGCCTTTAAATGTGCCTTTAGAGGCCATGCAATTCAGTACTCATCTCGAAAACAAAAGCAATTTAGGTCAAACGAGTTTATACTAACAAAGGAAATAGAAAGTCTAACAGAACAAATAGATGGCAATAAAAACTGTAACATAGAGGCTCAGAATAAATTAGAGGAAAAACAAAAAGAAATGGAGAAACTTATTCAAGAAAGATCAAGTGTAATATATTATAAAAATAAAGCAAACTGGATGGAATATGGGGAAAAATGCACCAAATTATTTTTTAATCTTCAACATAGGAATGCTACCAAAAAGAATGTAATGAAACTGGTTACAATTGACGGAGTCACCCATGATTCACCAAATTATATTTTGAAGGAGGAAAAAAAGTACTTTAAGCATATGTTTTCATTTCAGTCGCCTCCATCTCCTCTAACTGAAGCTAATTGTAGAGATTTTTTTTCTATTGATAATGTAAAATTAACAGCCATACAGAAAGACTCAGGTGAAGGTGAAATTACAGAGGAGGAACTTCTGGATGCAATGAAAGACTTTATGTCCGGGAAAACTCCAGGGTTGGATGGCATACCAGTCGAGGTATACCAAACCTTTTTTGATATACTAAGAGGACCGGTATTAGCATGTTTTAACCACTCATGTGTAAATGATAGATTATCTGACACTCAAGAAGAAGGTCTGATCTCATTATTACTGAAACAGGATACAAGTGGAAAATATAAAGTTCCAGTCCATTTAAAAAATTGGAGGTACCTTACACTTCAGTGTAGTGATGCAAAATTTCTAGCAAAATGTATAGTGCATATAATTAAAAAGGTATTGTCTGATATTATTCATTCTAATCAGACAGGTTTTTTACATGGAAGATACATTGGAGATAATATAAGGCAAGTATTGGAAACAATAGAACACTATGGAAAATATGGGAAACAAGGCCTGCTATTCATAGCAGACTTCGAAAAGGCTTTTGATAAAGTACGACTGGGGTTTATATATAAATGCCTGGAGCATTTCAATTTTGGAGAATCTCTTATAAAATGGGTGAAAATCATGTATAGTATCCCTAGGTGTAAAATAGTAAATAATGGCTATTTCTCAGAAAGTTTTAAACTGTCAAGAGAAGTGAAACAAGGTTGTCCACTTTCGGCATATCTATTTATTGTGGCCATCGAGATGTTAGCTATTAAAATCAGATCCAACAATAATATCAGGGGATTAGAAATCCAGGGCTTAAAAACAAAGGTGTCATTGTACGCTGATGATTCATGTTTTCTTTTAAATCCACAACTAGACTCCCTCCACAGCCTCATAGAGTATCTAGATACATTTTCTAACCTCTCTGGATTACAACCAAATTATGACAAATGTACTATATTACGTATTGGATCACTAAAAAATAAAAATGTTACATTACCATGTAGTTTACCAATAAAATGGTCTGATGGTGATGTGGATATACTCGGAATACATATCCCAAAGGAAATAAATGATCTCACTTCAATACATTTTAATAGAAAGTTAGCAAAAATAGAAAAGATCTTGCTACCATGGAAAGGTAAATACCTGTACATTTGTGGAAAAATCACCCTGATTAACTCTTTAGTATTATCCCAGTTTACCTATTTGCTTATGGTCTTGCCTACGCCTAGCGAACAGTTTTTTAAATTATATGAGAAAAAAATATTAAATTTTATTTGGAACGGCAAGCCAGACAAAATTAAACGGGCCTATTTATATAATGAATATGAATTCAGGGACAGAAATTAAAAAAAATTAAAGCATTAGACCTATCACTAAAAGCTTCAGTCATACAAAAGTTATACTTAAATCCGAACTGGTTCTCTAGCAAATTAGTAAGATTGTCTCACCCAATGTTCAAGAATGGCCTTTTTCCCTTTATTCAGATTACAACCTCTCACTTTCAGTTATTTGAAAAGGATATCATCTCCCAAATATCACTATTTCTAAAACAAGCCATAGAAATTTGGTTGCAATTTCAATTGAATCCTCCAGAAACGACAGAACAAATATTGCAACAAATATTGTGGTTGAACTCAAATATACTACTTGACAAAAAACCTTATTTTTTTGACAAAATATTTAAAAAAGGTATAATCTTGGTAGATTATATCATAAGTAGGACTGGTGGAGTTACAGTGGGGAAAAAAAGTATTTATTCAGCCACCAATTGTGCATGTTCTCCCACTTAAAAAGATGAGAGAGGCCTGTAATTTTCATCATAGGTACACGTCAACTATGACAGACAAATTGAGATTTTTTTTCTCCAGAAAATCACATTGTAGGATTTTTTATGAATTTATTTGCAAATTATGGTGGAAAATAAGTATTTGGTCACCTACAAACAAGCAAGATTTCTGGCTCTCACAGACCTGTAACTTCTTCTTTTAGAGGCTCCTCTGTCCTCCACTCGTTACCTGTATTAATGGCACCTGTTTGAACTTGTTATAAAGTATAAAAGACACCTGTCCACAACCTCAAACAGTCACACTCCAAACTCCACTATGGCCAAGACCAAAGAGCTGTCAAAGGACACCAGAAACAAAATTGTAGACCTGCACCAGGCTGGGAAGACTGAATCTGCAATAGGTAAGCAGCTTGGTTTGAAGAAATCAACTGTGGGAGCAATTATTAGGAAATGGAAGACATACAAGACCACTGATAATCTCCCTCGATCTGGGGCTCCACGCAAGATCTCACCCCGTGGGGTCAAAATGATCACAAGAACGGTGAGCAAAAATCCCAGAACCACACGGGGGGACCTAGTGAATGACCTGCAGAGAGCTGGGACCAAAGTAACAAAGCCTACCATCAGTAACACACTACGCCGCCAGGGACTCAAATCCTGCAGTGCAAGACGTGTCCCCCTGCTTAAGCCAGTACATGTCCAGGCCCGTCTGAAGTTTGCTAGAGTGCATTTGGATGATCCAGAAAAGGATTGGGAGAATGTCATATGGTCAGATGAAACCAAAATATAACTTTTTGGTAAAAACTCAACTCGTCGTGTTTGGAGGACAAAGGATGCTGAGTTGCATCCAAAGAACACCATACCTACTGTGAAGCATGGGGGTGGAAACATCATGCTTTGGGGCTGTTATTCTGCAAAGGGACCAGGACGACTGATCCGTGTAAAGGAAAGAATGGGGCCATGTATCGTGAGATTTTGAGTGAAAACCTCCTTCCATCAGCAAGGGCATTGAAGATGAAACATGGCTGGGTCTTTCAGCATGACAATGATCCCAAACACACCGCCCGGGCAACGAAGGAGTGGGTTCGTAAGAAGCATTTCAAGGTCCTGGAGTGGCCTAGCCAGTCTCCAGATCTCAACCCCATAGAAAATCTTTGGAGGGAGTTGAAAGTCTGTGTTGCCCAGCGACAGCCCCAAAACATCACTGCTCTAGAGGAGATCTGCATGGAGGAATGGGCCAAAATACCAGCAACAGTGTGTGAAAACCTTGTGAAGACTTACAGAAAAGGTTTGACCTGTGTCATTGCCAACAAAGGGTATATAACAAAGTATTGAGAAACTTTTGTTATTGACCAAATACTTATTTTCCACCATAATTTGCAAATAAATTCATTAATTGGTCCTCTGTAGCTCAGATGGTAGAGCACGGCGCTTGTAACGCCAAGGTAGTGGGTTCGATCCCCGGGACCACCCATACACAAAAAAAAATGTATGCACGCATGACTGTAAGTCGCTTTGGATAAAAGCGTCTGCTAAATGGCATATTGTTATTATTATATTAAAAATCCTACAATGTGATTTTCTGGATTTTTCTTTCTCTCATTTTGTCTGTCATAGTTGACGTGTACCTATGATGAAAATTACAGGCCTCTCTCATCTTTTTAAGTGGGAGAACTTGCACAATTGGTGGCTGACTAAATACTTTTTTCCCCACTGTATGTCTCACATGCAGCTAACAAAAACATATGGAAATGTCTGCTCTACCCAAAATTACAACCAAATAATTGCAGCTTTACCGCAAAAATGGAAGAGGAAAGTGGACGGGGGAGAAAGTAAGGAACTTGTCTGTCGGCCTTGCATTAAAGAACATAATTAGTTAAGGAAAACTGTGATAAATAAAAGTATACCAGTTTCATTTAATGACCAAAGGATTGACAGCTGTCCCATATAGATTGCAAAATAGTTGGGAAGAGATTGTTGACGTACCGATCCCATGGCATAGTGTTTATGAACTGATACGCAAAACGACACTGGATTCAAAATTTAGAATCTTTCAATTTAAATTATTATATAAAATTCTTGCTACCAATAGAATGTTATTTATATGGGGGATACAATCTTCCCAGCTCTACAGATTTTGCTGCGAAGAGACAAAATCATTAGATCATTTGTTTTGGTACTGTCCATTTGTAGCTTGTTTTTGGACACAGGTCCAGGAATGGCTAAAGGATTGCAATATTTACCTGGAGCTAACCTTGCAGATAGCATTACTGGGTGACCTGAAAAGTAATAGTCAATCGATCAATAATATAATAATACTTTTAGCAAAAATGTTTATTTTCAATTCACAATCTGTAGAAACAATGAGAATAGAAAGGTTCAGAACTTTTGTAAAACATCACAGTACAGTTATGGCAAAAAATATATGGCAAATAGAAATCCAATATGGATGATGTTAAGAGATAGATGGGAGGTATTGAATGGAGTTGAAGGATGGGACTAATAACAACTAACAACAAATAATAACAAGATAACTAATAATGTAAGCATACTGTGTCCATAATAAGTATATAGGTTGTAGGTTGGGAGCTTTTGTGAAAGAGCACAGTTAGAAAGATATGGCATATAGAAGCAAACCGGATGGACATCATGAAAATGATCGGAGAGGTTGAGAGTAGAAGAAAATCAGGAGAAAAAACAAACAAAATATAATTATTGTAAAATTGACTGTGTCCATAAAATGTAGATAGTAAGTATAAGCTGGAAGTAGAGGCCTAAGCATTGTTGTTCATTAGTTTATTCCAAGTAGGGAAAGGGTGGTTGGGTTGGAAAGTAATAAACAGGAATATTCTTTTTTAAAGGACATGTATGTGTATGTATGTATGTATGTATGTATGTATGTATGTATGTATGTATGTATGTATGTATGTATGTATGTATGTACAGTGGGGAAAAAAATATTTAGTCAGCCACCAATTGTGCAAGTTCTCCCACTTAAAAAGATGAGAGAGGCCTGTAATTTTCATCATAGGTAAACATCAACTATGACAGACAAAATGAGAGAAATAAATCCAGAAAATCACATTGTAGGATTTTTTATGAATTTATTTGCAAATTATGGTGGAAAATAAGTATTTGGTCAATAACAAAAGTTTCTCAATACTTTGTTATATACCCTTTGTTGGCAATGACACAGGTCAAACGTTTTCTGTAAGTCTTCACAAGGTTTTCACACACTGTTGCTGGTATTTTGGCCCATTCCTCCATGCAGATCTCCTCTAGAGCAGTGATGTTTTGGGGCTGTCGCTGGGCAAACACGGACTTTCAACTCCCTCCAAAGATTTTCTATGGGGTTGAGATCTGGAGACTGGCTAGGCCACTCCAGGACCTTGAAATGCTTCTTACGAAGCCACTCCTTCGTTGCCCGGGCGGTGTGTTTGGGATCATTGTCATGCTGAAAGACCCAGCCACGTTTCATCTTCAATGCCCTTGCTGATGGAAGGAGGTTTTCACTCAAAATCTCACGATACATGGCCCCATTCATTCTTTCCTTTACACGGATCAGTCGTCCTGGTCCCTTTGCAGAAAAACAGCCCCAAAGCATGATGTTTCCACCCCCATGCTTCACAGTAGGTATGGTGTTCTTTGGATGCAACTCAGCATTCTTTGTCCTCCAAACACGACGAGTTGAGTTTTTACCAAAAAGTTCTATTTTGGTTTCATCTGACCATATGACATTCTCCCAATCCTCTTCTGGATCATCCAAATGCACTCTAGCAAACTTCAGACGGGCCTGGACATGTACTGGCTTAAGCAGGAAGACACGTCTTGCACTGCAGGATTTGAGTCCCTGGCGGCGTAGTGTGTTACTGATGGTAGGCTTTGTTACTTTGGTCCCAGCTCTCTGCAGGTCATTCACTAGGTCCCCCCGTGTGGTTCTGGGATTTTTGCTCACCGTTCTTGTGATCATTTTGACCCCACGGGGTGAGATCTTGCGTGGAGCCCCAGATCGAGGGAGATTATCAGTGGTCTTGTATGTCTTCCATTACCTAATAATTGCTCTCACAGTTGATTTCTTCAAACCAAGCTGCTTACCTATTGCAGATTCAGTCTTCCCAGCCTGGTGCAGGTCTACAATTTTGTTTCTGTGTCCTTTGACAGCTCTTTGGTCTTGGCCATAGTGGAGTTTGGAGTGTGACTGTTTGAGGTTGTGGACAGGTGTCTTTTATACTGATAACAAGTTCAAACCGGTGCCATTAATACAGGTAACGAGTGGAGGACAGAGGAGCCTCTTAAAGAAGAAGTTACAGGTCTGTGAGAGCCAGAAATCTTGCTTGTTTGTAGGTGACCAAATACTTATTTTCCACCATAATTTGCAAATAAATTCATTAAAAATCCTACAATGTGATTTTCTGGATCTTTTTTTCTCATTTTGTCTGTCATAGTTGACGTGTACCTATGATGAAAATTACAGGCCTCTCTCATCTTTTTAAGTGGGAGAACTTGCACAATTGGTGGCTGACTAAATACTTTTTTTCCCCACTGTATGTATGTATGTATGTATGTATGTATGTATGTACGTATGTGTGTATGTATCTATGTGTGTATATGTGTATATATATATATGTATATGTATGTGTATGTATATATATATATATATATATATATATATATGCAGTGGGGAGAACAAGTATTTGATACACTGCCGATTTTGCAGGTTTTCCTACTTACAAAGCATGTAGAGGTCTGTCATTTTTATCATAGGTACATTTCAACTGTGAGAGACGGAATCTAAAACAAAAATCCAGAAAATCACATTGTATGATTTTTAAGTAATTAATTTGCATTTTATTGCATGACATAAGTATTTGATCACCATCCAACCAGTAAGAATTCCGGCTCTCACAGACCTGTTAGTTTTTCTTTAAGAAGCCCTTCTGTTCTCCACTCATTACCTGTATTAACTGCACCTGTTTGAACTCGTTACCTGTATAAAAGACACCTATCCACAAACTCAATCAAACAGACTCCAACCTCTCCACAATGGCCAAGACCAGAGAGCTGTGTAAGGACATCAGGGATAAAATTGTAGACCTGCACAAGGCTGGGATGGGCTACAGGACAATAGGCAAGCAGCTTGGTGAGAAGGCAACAACTGTTGGCGCAATTATTAGAAAATGGAAGAAGTTCAAGATGACGGTCAATCACCCTCGGTCTGGGTCTCCATGCAAGATCTCACCTCGTGGGGCATCAATGATCATGTGGAAGGTGAGGGATCAGCCCAGAACTACACGGCAGGACCTGGTCAATGACCTGAAGAGAGCTGGGACCACAGTCTCAAAGAAAACCATTAGTAACACACTACGCCGTCATGGATTAAAATCCTGCAGTGCACGCAAGGTCCCCCTGCTCAAGCCAGCGCATGTCCAGGCCCATCTGAAGTTTGCCAATGACCATCTAGATGATCCAGAGGAGGAATGGGAGAAGGTCATGTGGTCTGATGATACAAAAATAGAGCTTTTTGGTCTAAACTCCACTCGCCGTGTTTGGAGGAAGAAGAAGGATGAGTACAACCCCAAGAACACCATCCCAACCGTGAAGCATGGAGGTGGAAACATCATTCTTTGGGGATGCTTTTCTGCAAAGGGGACAGGACGACTGCACTGTATTGAGGGGAGGATGGATGGGGCCATGTATCGCGAGATCTTGGCCAACAACCTCCTTCCCTCAGTAAGAGCATTGAAGATGGGTCGTGGCTGGGTCTTCCAGCATGACAACGACCCGAAACACACAGCCAGGGCAACTAAGGAGTGGCTCCGTAAGAATCATCTCAAGGTCCGGGAGTGGCCTAGCCAGTCTCCAGACCTGAACCCAATAGAAAATCTTTGGAGGGAGCTGAATGTCCGTATTGCCCAGCGACAGCCCCGAAACCTGAAGGATCTGGAGAGGAGTGGGCCAAAATCCCTGCTGCAGTGTGTGCAAACCTGGTCAAGACCTACAGGAAACGTATGATCTCTGTAATTGCAAACAAAGGTTTCTGTACCAAATATTAAGTTCTGCTTTTCTGATGTATCAAATACTTATGTCATGCAATAAAATGCAAATTAATTACTTAAAAATCATACAATGTGATTTTCTGGATTTTTGTTTTAGATTCCGTCTCTCACAGTTGAAGTGTAACTATGATAAAAATTACAGACCTCTATATGCTTTGTAAGTAGGAAAACCTGCAAAATCGGCAGTGTATCTAATACTTGTTCTCCCCACTGTGTGTGTGTATATATATATATATATATATATATATAAACATGGGGGATTGGAAGTGATGCAGACAATTACATTGATGGAAGTTACAATCTATCTGCAATATTAAGCTGATCTACCCCCTATAAAAATTTAAATAAAGAAAAAATAAAGAATTTTTTTTGTTTTTTTCCTAATTACTCAGAGATCGATAGAGCTAGAGACACCATATTTTATGCCAAACAACTTATTATGTCCTCTACCATTGGCAACTTTAATTTCTAGGGTAATTGAGTTTAAATTAAATAGATGGACAACAGAACTACCACAACGTTACTTTTGTACCTACCAGCGGGGCGGGAGTAACACAGCCTTGGGACGGAAGTAACAGATGGTGAGAAGAGCACAATATCTGTTTCTGTTTTGAAATGCTCATTACTTTCAAAAAATGTACAGTCGTGGTCAAAGGTTTTGAGAATGACACAAGTATTGGTCTTCACAAAGTTTGCTGCTTCAGTGTTTTTAGTTATTTTTGTCAGATGTTACTATGGTATACTGAAGTATAATTACAAGCATTCCATAAGTGTCAAAGGCTTTTATTGACAATTACATTACGTTTATGCAAAGAGTCAATATTTGCAGTGTTGACCCTTCTTTTTCAAGACCTCTGCAATCCGCCCTGGCATGCTGTCAATTAACTTCTGGGCCACATCGTGACGAATGGCAGCCCATTCTTGCATAATCAATGCTTGGAGTTTGTCAGAATTTGTGGGGTTTTGTTTGTCCACCCGCCTCTTGAGGATTGACCACAAGTTCTCAATGGGATTAAGGTCTGGGGAGTTTCCTGGCCATGGACCCAAAATGTCGATGATTTTGTTCCCCGAGCCACTTAGTTATCACTTTTGCCTTATGGCAAGGTGCTCCATCATGCTGGAAAAGGCACTGTTCGTCACCAAACTGTTCTTGGATGGTTGGGAGAAGTTGCTCTCGGAGGATGTGTTGGTAACATTCATTATTCATTAAGTTCATTTTCATGGCAAAGAGGGACTTTGCAATTAATTGCAATTCATCTGATCACTCTTCATAACATTCTGGAGTATATGCAAATTGCCATCATAAAAACTGAGGCAGCAGACTTTGTGAAAATTAATATTTGTGTCATTCTCAAAACTTTTGACCACTGACTGTACTGTCAGCCATAATTTAATGTTTGTGTAGATTGGAATAATTAATGGTATAGGTTAGAAATGTATGAAAATGAACCATCACAACATCGCACAATTGCGGAACCGCAACATTTTGCCTCACAATATTAATCGTACTAAAATGGATCACATAATAGCTATTTAATGGGAGTGTAGTAGGATATGTTTTTTTAAATGATCAATGACTATTCATGCTTAGCCCTACCAATCAGATGCGCTCCAGCTGTACTTGTCATGCGCGCTCCTCGTGTCTTGATACAATCAACTTGTTTTATTCTCTTCACAAACGCATTTTGCTTTATCACATTTCCATGGCTTGACACAGGGTAATTGACACCCAGAATCATAGATATATATATATATTTAACCACTGACCTGTTGATAATAATAATATAATATGCCATTTAGCAGACGCTTTTATCCAAAGCGACTTACAGTCACGTGCGCATACATTTTTACGTATTGATAAAACCTCATGTGAGAAGCTGATCCATCAAGTCAATTGATTAAGGCATAATGCTAATGGCCTCATTGTTCATTTTAAAACATTCAGTAAAATTGTTGATATTTTGCTAACATTTTAAAAAGCAATATGAACTACAGGACACAATGGCCTGTGCTTAAACTGTATTTTATTTGATTCCAGGTCATCAGTTTACACTGTGTTACTTTGGTCCCACCCGTCTCTCCTGTGACTTCTCCCAAGACTAGCTAGCACGATACTTGAAACCTAGGCTGTCATTTAGTCACTAGATGGGTTAAGAAAATGACCTTAAACAACTAAACACAACTCTACGACCTCAAAACACTTCCGGGTCAGTCTTTCTTTACTTACAGTACATCGCTCAAAACCACATTGTTTTGATAACATAGTGAACATGGTCAGACTGGGCTCGTCCTCCGCATTAGGAACATGCTGTCACGATCGTCGATAGATGCGGACCAAGGCGCAGCGTGGTAAGCGTACATTTTATTTAATTAACGTACTTAACACACACGAACAAAAACAACAAACGATACGTGAAGTCCTAGGTTAACACCAAAACAAACCATACGGAACAAGATCCCACAATAAACAGTGCCAAACAGGCTGCCTAAGTATGGTCCCCAATCAGAGACAACAAGCTCCAGCTGCCTCTGATTGGGAACCACCCTGGCCAACATAGAAATACACGAACTAGAACAAAACATAGAACATAACACATAGAAAATCCACACCCTGGCTCAACATATAAGAGTCCCCAGAGCCAGGGCGTGACACATGCTGGCTTCACTATGTCATTCTAGGCTTCTGTCTTATCTGAGAAAATGGGCGGTACTTTCTCCCCAGCTCTCCCCCCTATAGGTTAAAATAAGTTCACAGCTCTACACTACTCATGTTGTCCTTCTCTTGAATGTCACATTTACAAAGAACACAAACAAATATACATTTCCATGAAAAACTAATGTCCCAGTCACGCATTCCTCAAAAAACTGGTTTTCAACCTGTTTTCAGACCCATAGGTCATGTTCTCTGAACTGCTGGAGCATTTTTTTGCCTGGTCCCAGATCTGTTTGTGCTGTTTAACCAACTCATATGGTCATAGTTAGAGTTGGTTAAACAGAACAAACAGATCTGGGACCAGGCACCTTTTTTTTTGTGCACTAACAGATCTGGGACCATAGGAGTTGGCAACCCAGCAATAACAGATCTGGGACCAGGCTGGAGCGGTTTGTGTGACCAGGGAGCAGCTCAGGAAGCCCTTCTGTAAACCAGAGTGGTCCAGGACTATAGGAAGCCCTTCTGTAAACCAGAGTGGTCCAGGACTATAGGAAGCCCTTCTGTAAACCAGAGTGGTCCAGGACTATAGGAAGCCCTTCTGTAAACCAGAGTGCTCCAGGACTATAGGAAGCCCTTCTGTAAACCAGAGTGGTCCATAACTATAGGAAGCCCTTCTGTAAACCAGAGTGGTCCAGGTCTATAGGAAGCCCTTCTGTAAACCAGAGTGCTCCAGGTCTATAGAAAGCCCTTCTGTAAACCAGAGTGGTCCATAACTATAGGAAGCCCTTCTGTAAACCAGAGTGGTCCATAACTATAGGAAGCCCTTCTGTAAACCAGAGTGGTCCATAACTATAGGAAGCCCTTCTGTAAACCAGAGTGGTCCATAACTATAGGAAGCCCTTCTGTAAACCAGAGTGGTCCATAACTATAGGAAGCCCTTCTGTAAACCAGAGTGGTGGATGAAGAAGGGGAAGTGTAAAACAGTTAGCAGGCTGCAGGGAAGGACCAAAACTAGTGCATCTCTACCATGAACCCTGTGGCATGGCTGTATCAGAAACACACACAGGCACACACACACACGCACAGGCACACACACTGAAGCACACACACGCACACATGCACGCACACACACACTGAGATGGTCAGTGATGACAGAGGGCTTGTGGCCAGTACTGATTAGTGAAGAAGCTAATGAGGCAGCTACCACTGTCTGGGTTTCCTGGGTAGAGAGGAGGGGGAGGGGGGGAGACAGAGAGGGTGGAAGACAAAGAGTGAATAGATGGAAGACCAAGTCTGTGTGAGAAAGAGAAAGACAGAGGAAATTTAGTGCAAAAGAAAAAGAGGAAAGTAAAGAGACGTCCTGACAAACAGCAACAGAGTGGAGGAATAATGTTTGTTTATCTGCAGTCCGGCCGGCCAGTCGGTCAGAGGGAGAAGGGAGATGTATAGTCCTGAGGTATTCTGGGATGTTGAACTGTTGTTTTTTCCTCCTGTGATCTCAGGTTCCGGCTGCTTTTTTTCTTCCTCCTGGTCGGTTCCCAGCCTCCCTGTGAAAGCCTGCTTCCTATGATCGCTTGGAAAGGACGGTGTGTGTTTGTGTGTGTGTGTGATTTGGAGGATATGGCCGTAAAAAAAAAAAAAATGTTGTGTACAGTTCCCAGAGTGCTGCTTTCTCTAACCCAGCTGACGATGTGTGTGGCACTCTGCCCTACAAAGCTCTCGTTGAATGACCCAGACAAATGAATCATCACTCTATCTACTATCCCGCCATAGGCCATGCTGTCTGTCTGCTACACTGTAGTAAATACTCTCTAGCCCCTTGATGGTCTTCAATATGGGTACTTATGATTGTAACGTATACGCCGGGAGTCAGGAAACAGGTGCAGAAGGTGATTTTAATAAAGAACCGATGCAAATGAACAAACGTGAGGAGCGTACTGAACGTGAAAAAAAAAACAATAACACCTAGTGACTGAAGACAACTGAGGGCTGAATAAAGGGGGAGTAATCAGGGAGGGAATGATGAGCAGGTGATGGTTGCCAGGTGTGCGTAATGTGGGTTGCCAGGACCGGTGGTTAGTAGACAGTTGACGTCGAGCGCCGGAGGGGAGGGAGCAGGAGTAGGCGTGACAACGATCCCTGAATGACATCATGTTTACATTTGAGCAGACCCAGGACTAACTGTCCTGATATAGCTAATCAGCTGATCATCAAGCACTGTATTATTTTAATCAGCTTTGATAGGGGGGGGGGGGGGGGGGCAGGATTGCACAACACTGATTAAGTTCAATGGGTTAGTTGTGACAGTGGGACTACAAAACACTCTTCTGTACTTGATTTGATTATATAATTTGACTGAATGGGTTTCTTGGAACCATGAAGGCACTGGGATTTGGGAACACCGACAGCAATATCTTGCTGCCAGGTAATCACACAAGTTAACGAACGTCATCATTAGGAAAGCAGCTGCTTTAGGAAAACACGTGATTGCATATAGGTCCTGACGGCCTGGATGTAAAAATAGCACCAGAAGTGTATTCTGCGATTCTGCTGAACCCGAAAGGAAGAGGATGTTTTCATGTTCTGTGTGTGAAACTAAACTTTCAGGTTCCATTCTCTTCAGGTTTGCGTGACCCCCCTCACGCTGATTGCTTGATGTTATTGTAAATATTTTAAAGTATCAAGTCTTTCAAATTCCTCAAATAACTGACACATTTTCCTGCATCTTGAATATAATACTCCGTATGAGTCATTCAATGCTGTCCAAGTACAGTATTCCAGTAATGAACCTGGAGTTGGTCTGGAATACGTGGTAGGCTTTTAGCGATTCTAGGGAACTTCTAGTGACGTTCCAATCACCAATGAGCAATGAGCCATCAGTTGGTTTGAAAATACACCATGTAGTGATTGTGGGGTTATAAAAACCGAAGCAGTGCTTGCATGAACGACCCTGCAGTTACACTTCAATCACATTTACGCCTGTGCCAATAAAGGGATGACCTCTTGTTTGAGGCTTTAGTTTGCTGAGATACAGGGAGGCTGCCCAGGGTGCTGTATAATAATAATACTACTACTACTAATACTACTACTAATAATAATAATAATAATAATAATAATAATAGTAATAATGTCAGCGATACGGGGATGTATTAAAGTCATACTGTGGGGGTGCTGTGTCATTTTTGTTAGACCCTCTCTTCCCCCTGGGCCCTCCTGTAGCTCAGTTGGTAGAGCATGGCGCTTGCGACGCCAGGGTTGTGGGTTCGATTCCCACGGCGGGGCCAGTATGAAAAAATGTATGCACTCACTGACTGTAAGTCACTCTGGATAAGAGCGTCTGCTAAATGACTAAAATGTAGTTTAGGTCACCTCTCTCTCGTTCTTTGGAGAAAGACAAATGTCCCTGTAGGTATCACCTCAGTGTGTTGATGTGAAAACACAGGCACACACACATATACACAAAACAAACACACTCTCCACCAAGTGTCCACCACACAGCTGGCTCCACTGTTTACAGAACAACATGGCAGCAGCAGGAAACCAAAACCACAGACAGCTTCTTTTTTCCTCGCATTCTGCAGTTTTAATTTTAATTTTAATTTTAAAGGAGAGTTATCATTTAGTTACACACACACACACACCACGGTTGCCAGGTTGTGTAAAGTTGACGCTGCGTGGATTCCAGCATGGGGGTCGCTGTTAATCTTACACACACGCACGCACATACACTAACACACACACACACACACACACACACACACACACACACACACACACACACACACACACACACACACACACACACACACACACACACACACACACACACACACACACACACACACACACACACACATTGACAGTTGAGTTTTGGCTAACAGGCCCCAGAGGAGGCTGTCTGTCTTGAAGACGTGCCAAGCTGAAGGAGAATATAATATTTTGCTTTGAAAGATTCTTGGCAATCCCCCTCTCTCTCTCCCCTGCCTGGAGTACTGTACGTTTGGCAATCCCCCTCTCTCTCTCCCCTGCCTGGAGTACTGTACATTTGGCAATCCCGCTTTCTCTCTCCCCTGCCTGGAGTACTGTAAATGTGTTAAACAAGTGAGTGAACACCAGCAGACTAGCCCAACACAAGGCCCTGGTTGCATCCATTTAAAAAAAAAAAAACATTTTTAGTCATTTAGCAGACGCTCTTATCCAGAGCGACTTACAGTTAGTGAGGGTATACATATTTAAAAAATATATATATAATTATACTGGGCCCCCGTGGGAATCGAACCCACAACCTTGGCGTTGCAAACGCCATGCTCTACCAACTGAGCTACATCCCTGCTGGCCATTCCCTCCCCTACCCTGGGCCAATTGTGCACCGCCCCATGGGTCTCCCGGTCACAGCAGAGCCTGGATTCGAACCAGGATCTCTAGTGGCACAGCTAGCACTGCGATGCAGTGCCTTAAACCACTGCGCCACTCGGGAGACAAACACGTAAAAGACACACCCTCTCCCCTGAGCCCTCAAATTAAGTGGACACTTCTGATGACGTATCATGACGTATGATGAGTTGACACTTGCAGGGCAAGGGGCGAGGGAATAATGAATGAATTTTAAATGGACCGCCCTTGCCTGGAAGTTCGTCCCACGGTTGTGTTTTCAGTCATCATGGAACCACCAGTAGCTGTATGAGCTACAGTCATTTATGATTGCATTTCATATCTTGGCTAGAAGACAACGCATCCGCAGACATCGAATACTAGCCATCCGATGATTTCAGGTAAATCGAAAATTACAATGTATAAGTGTGATGTCAGGGAAAGTTATGCGCTAGCTAACGTTTCCAAAAGCTAATCAAACAAAAACATAATTACCTTTACGATACGTGTTTGTGCTGTCATGTGCAATTTCTAACTTATTTACATTTGTTTTTACTTACACTTGTATGTTGACTTCTCCATATTGATGTTTGTTTTAAGTTTTGGCTGGCTTTTTTTAGCGGATGTACAATCATAGCAAATTGAGTTATGGAGCATTTCAGGCCCCGGAGTGAACAGAATTGTACACTCGCACACTCGATCACAAACGAGGGCTGAGGGTCTTAAATTGCCAACTTCCCTTGCTTGGCTAATTGTTTGGACTGACGGCAAAGATGGATTCCCCCAAGGGCATAAGGCGAGGGTAAGTGGAGGAGGGTGTGTCTTTTACGTGTTTGGAACGCAGCCCATGTCTCTCGCACCCTGGATATCTTCCATCTGCTCTGTAACGGTAGAATCTAATAATACAGAGGCACAGGGGAAAATCTACCCTGGCAACAAAATGTACGAGTAGCTCCACCGAGCTATACGACTCTCACAACTAACAATCACCCACAAGGACAAGGGGGCAGAGGGAACACTTATACACGGACTAATGAGGGGAACCAGGTGTGTGTGATAAACAAGACAAGATAAATGTGATGATGATTGGGGCGGCAGTGGTTAGTAAGCCGGTGACGACGAACGCCGAAGCCTGCCCAAACAAGGAGGGGAGGCAGCCTCGGCCGAAGTCGTGACAGTACCCCCCCTTGACGCATGGCTCGAGCAGTGTGCCGACCCCGGGGACGGCCAGGAGGACGCGGAGCAGGGCAAGCCGGATGGCGACGGTGGAAATCCCGCAACAGGGAGGGATCGAGGATATCCCTCACCGGGACCCAGCACCGTTCCTCCGGACCGTACCCCTCCCACTCCACGAGGTACTGAAGGCCCCCACACCCGATGCCTCGAATCCAGGATGGGGCGGACAGAGTACGCCGGGGCCCCCTCGATGTCCAGAGGAGGTGGAGGAACCTCCCACACCTCAGACTCCTGGAGCGGACCAACCACCACCGGCCTGAGGAGAGACACATGAAACGAGGGGTTAATACGGTAATCAGGGGGGAGTAATAACCTATACGTGACCTCGTTGATTCTCCTCAGGACTTTGAACGGCCCCACAAACCGTGGGCTCAGCTTCCGGCAGGGCATGCGGAGGGGCAGATTCGGGGTCGAGAGCCAGACCCGATCCCCCGGTATGAAGACCGGGGCCTCACTGCGGTGACGGTCAGCATTGGCCTTCTGACGATGCACGGCGCGCTGGAGGTGAACGTGCGCAGCGTACCACGTCTCCTCCAGGCGCCGAAACCAGTCATCCACCGCAGGAGCCTCGGTCTGGCTCTGGTGTAACGGTGCCAGAACCGGTTGGTAACCTAAAACACATTGGAATGGTGTTAGGTTAGTGGAGGAGTGGCGGAGAGAGTTCTGGGCATATTCTGCCCATGGCAAGAACACAGACCACTCCCCCGGCCCGTCCTGGCAGTAGGACCGCAGGAACCTACCCACATCCTGATTTACCCATTCCACCTGCCCATTTGACTCGGGGTGGAACCCAGAGGCCAGGCTGACCGAGACCCCCAGACGTTCCATGAACGCCTTCCAAACCATGGACGTGAACTGGGGACCTCGGTCGGACACTATATCCTCTGGCACCCCGTAGTGCCGGAAGACGTGAGTAACAGGGCTCCGCAGTCTGCGGGTCGTGGGGGGAACCGGTGAGGAAGGAGGCAGCAGGACTTGGAGAGCGGTTTCACAACGACAGGATGGTGGTGTTACCTTGGGAGAGGGAAGATCAGTCAAAAAATAACACTTAGGTGAGACCATGGTCGTTGTGGAACTGGTAAAGGTTGTAGCTTACCCGCTGGGAGGTGCCTAGGTATCTTACTCTGGGTGCACACCGAACAGGAGGAGACGTTTCACCTCACGTTCCTTAGCCAAGGTAGGCCACCACTACTTTCCGGTCAGGCAGCGCACTGTACGACCAATACCTGGGTGACCAAAGGAGGGTGACGTGTGTGCCCAAGGAGGGGAGACAGCCTCGGGCCGAAGTCGTGACATAGGGGCTACTTTATCAGTGTTTTAATGTTAACGAGGGATACATTTTGGAGTGTAGCAAAAACAGGCAGCGGGTGTGCGCTGTGTGTGTGTGTGTGTTTCTATGTGAATGTCAGGACGTGTGCGTGTGTGTTTCTGTGTGTGTTTCTGTGCTGTGTGTGGTTTATGTGTGTGTTCTGTGTGTGTTTATGTGTGTTTTATGTGTGTGTGTGTTTCGTGTGTGTTCTGTGTGTATTTCTGTGTGGTTCTGTGTGTGTTTCGTGGTGTTGCTGTGTGTGTTGTGGTGTGTTGTGTGGTGTTTCTGTGTGTTTCGGTTTCTGTGTGTTGTTCTGTATGTGTTTGTGTTACAGCTGTTAGACGAGGTATTGCAGTTAGATAACCTGCTGAGGTTTGTTTTACATAGATACAAAGAAAAAATGTTTCTTTTTCCTGAACCCATACATCAATATGACAGATGTTTTGTAAAGCGGAGGACACGATGGGAGATTTACAACTGACACGTAAATGACCTTAATTACAGTGTTTTGTCTCCCTTGCTGTCCATCTGAGGAGCATTTTTAAAACAACAAAGAACAAGAAAAGTCAAATTGCTGCTGCTTGCTGCATACTCAGGCTCAGGGACACAGATTAGGGCTACATGGGTATTGTTTTCAGAATCAAGCCCTCTATTCATCCATTATTTGATCCCTGTTCCATGTTCCCTGTTCTAATCCCAGACCGTTTCGGTTTCTTTGCTCTCTACTCTAAAGCATATTTGGGTAATTGAAAAACGCTATATCAATCCCATTATTGTTGTTATTATCCTGTACAGAAGCACACAGTCGTATTAAAGTAAAGTGAATTAACTCCCATTGATCTTATATCATTGTAAATACCATTCAGGCCTGTTTTTTTCCATAATAAAGTACTAATAATAATATGCCATTTAGCAGACGCTTTTATCCAAAGTGACTTACAGTCATGTGTGCATACATTTTTACGTATGGGTGGTCCCGGGGATCGAACCCACTACTCTGGCGTTACAAGCGCCGTGCTCTACCAGCTGAGCTACAGAGGACCACATATACTTATGAATTACTGTTAAATGTAAAGCAACTCTCATTGTTGTTTCATTGTAATTCCGTCCCGATTAGCTTATTTTCAACTCCAGTGTTTTTCCATAGCAGAGAGAGAGGAGAGTGTGAGAGAGAGAGAGAGAGAGAGAGAGCAGAGACGAAGAGGAGGATGATGAGGAAGAAGCAGAACGCAGGAGAGAGATGAGAGAGAGAGAGCGAGAGAGAGAGAGAGATGGGTATTGCTGCTGGCCTGCCCCCCCCAACAAACACATGCTCTGTGTCACGTCCTGTAGCTGACACTGACTGGACGCTCCCTGGTAGGCACCCTATTCCCTTTGTAGTGCACTACTTTTGACCAGGGCCCATAGAACTCTGGTCAAAAGTAGTGCACTATATAGGGAATAGGGTGCCATTTCGGATGCAAAGGGTGGAATGAGCATTGGACCAGTAACCGAAAGGTCGCTGGTTACAATACCTGAGCCGACAAGGTGAAAAATCTGTCGATGTGCCCTTGAGCATGGCACTTAACCCTTATTTGCTCCAGGGTTGGCATACTACTATGGCTGACCCTGTAAAACATATATCTGGTGTATGTGACAAGAAAACATATACATATATATTTATGACTATCTGTGTTATCATAACCTTACTGCACTGCAGCATTACGACTCCTGGACAGAGGACTTTAAAATAGATTTATTGTGGGCCTACTTTAGGAGCCGACAAGATTAGTCATGTCTCAGGGACTTCTCTCTAGCTTTCTTGTTCAGTCTCTCTTCCTCTTTCGCTCGCTCTCCACATTTTTCTCTCTGTCTCTCTCTCTCTCTCCTGCAAGTCTCTGTAATGTAACCCCACAGATCTCTCTGGCTCCTGGCTTTCTGTGAGGACAGAGAACTTCAGGTTCACGTAAGCATTGTACTGTGTGTTTATTGTGAAGGGAAGCCATCTTTTAGTCCCAGTCCCCATCAGGAGGACCATGTTTTGTTTGGACTGTGAAGACCTGAATCTCAGCATCATGTTACATCATCACATCTCCATGCAGGTCTGTCCCACCATCTATTGATTGATGATCTGGCCAACCAGCCTTACAGGAGGTTGTCTTGAAGACGTGCCAAGCTGAAGGCATACAAACTTGTTCACCTTTTGCAGTCTTTTGGCAATCCTCTTTTCCTGTCTTCCAGCCTGGGGTGCTATTAATTTGTAAACACAAGCAAAGCTGATTTTGCTCAACAAAGCACCTGCCAAGTTTTTTTCTTGGGGTGTGCATACAACGCCTGGATGCGATTGGATACGATCCACATAAGAGTGCAGCGACAGGTCATGCATAAAGTTAATATATCATGGAATCTTGATTTGGATGTTGTCCAAAAGTTGCACAACTGAATGAATTAATGCCCACTCTCTCTCTCCAAACAACTTTCATTGCAGCATTGTACCCCTGAACAACTTCTCTTGGAATGCCTTCAAAATGTCATTCCACGTGGTCCATGTGCTGATTATTTGTGCACTTGCACACTCCCCATCATGGATTCTAAAGCATTGGACTGGTGTGATTTTCACTGATGTTAAATGTGGCGATTGACTGAGGTAATGTGGATTCGGCTATTTCAGCTACACCCCCGTTGCCGACAGCTGTATAAAATCGAGCACACAGCCATGCAATCTCCATAGACAAACATTGGCAGTAGAATGGCCTTACTGAATAGCTCAGTGACTTTCAACATGGCACCGTCATAGGATGCCACCTTTCCAACAAGTCAGTTCGTCAAATTTCTGGCCCTGCTAGAGATGCCCCAGGTCAACTGTAAGTGCTGTTACTGTGAAGTGGACACGTCTAGGAGCCGTAAAGTGGTAGGCCACACAAGCTCACAGAAAGGGACCGCCGAGTGCTGAAGTCTGTCCTCAGTTGCAACACTCACTACAGAGTTCCAAACTGCCTGTGAAGGCAACGTCAGCACAATAACTGTTCGTCAGGAGCTTCAAGAAATGGGTTTCCATGGCCGAGCAGCCGCACACAAGCCTAAGATCACCATGCGCAATGCCAAGCGTTGGCTGGAGTGGTGTAAAGCTCGCCGCCATTGGACTCTGGAGCAGTGGAAACGCGTTCTCTGGAGTGATGAATCACGCTTCACCATCTGGCAGTCCAACGGACGAATCTGGGTTTGGCGGATGCCAGGAGAACGCTACCTGCCCGAATGCATAGTGCCAACTGTAAAGTTTGGTGGAGGAGGAATAATGGTCTGGGACTGTTTTTCATGGTTCTGGCTAGGCCCCTTAGTTCCAGTGAAGGGAAATCTTAATGCTACAGCATACAATGACATTCTAGACAATTCTGTGCTTCCAACTTTGTGGCAACAGTTTGAGGAAGGCCCTTTCCTGTTTCAGCATGACAATGCCCCCGTGCACAAAGCGACGTCCATACAGAAATAGTTTGTCGAGATCAGTGTGGAAGAATTTGACTGACACCACACACACACACACACACACACACACACACTTTCACACAACATACACTGCTGCTCCTGTCTATTGTCTATCCTGTTGCCTAGCAACATTTTCCTATATGTACATAGCTACCTCAATTAGCTCGTACCCCTGCAAATTCACTCGATACTGGTACTTCCTGTATATAGCCAATTTATTACCTGGTACTCCCTGTATATAGCCATGTTATTACCTGGTACTTCCTGTATATAGCCATGTTATTACCTGGTACTTCCTGTATATAGCCATGTTATTACCTGGTACTTCCTGTGTATAGCCATGTTATTACCTGGTACTTCCTGTATATAGCCATGTTATTACCTGGTACTTCCTGTATATAGCCATGTTATTATTGCTCGTTATTGTTATTCATTATTCACTGTGTATTTATTCCTCGTGTATTTCTTTTTTTTTCTCTGTATTTTTCTCTCTGCATTGTCGGGAAGGGCCCGTAAGCATTTCACTGTTAGTCTACACCTGTTGTTTACCAAGCATGTGACAAATAACATTTGATTTGATTTTAATTATAGCCAAGCCCCTCACCATTTCTCGATATGACGACATCCTGTCTTCCGTACAAGGAGAAGAAATGACATTAATTAATTAACTCTACAATGACAGATGTTACTGTATATCTGGATATGAATAGTTATTGTGTGGTATCCAGCCCTAGCCCCAGCCCTTCTAGCTATGTTGGTGATTCAGCTTAAAAGATCAAAAAGATTTGGAGGGAGTTGAAAGTCCGTGTTGCCCAGCGACAGCCCCAAAACATCACTGCTCAAGAGGAGATCTGCATGGAGGAATGGGCCAAAATACCAGCAACAGTGTGTGAAAACCTTGTGAAGACTTACAGAAAAGGTTTGACCTGTGTCATTGCCAACAAAGGGTATATAACAAAGTGTTGAGAAACTTTTGTTATTGACCAAATACTTATTTTCCACCATAATTTGCAAATAAATTCTTGCGTGGAGCCCCAGATCGAGGGAGATTATCAGTGGTCTTGTATGTCTTCCATTTCCTAATAATTGCTCCCACAGTTGATTTCTTCAAACCAAGCTGCTTTTATACTGATAACAAGTTCAAACAGGTGCCATTAACACAGGTAACGAGTGGAGGACAGAGGAGCCTCTTAAAGAAGAAGTTACAGGTCTGTGAGAGCCAGAAATCTTGCTTGTTTGTAGGTGACCAAATACTTATTTTCCACCATAATTTGCAAATTAATTCATTAAAAATCCTACAATGTGATTTTCTGGATTTTTTTTCCTCAATTTGTCTTTCATAGTTGACGTATACCTATGATGAAAATTACAGGCCTCTCTCATCTTTTTAAGTGGGAGAACTTGCACAATTGGTGGCTGACAACACAAAAAGTATTTGATCCCCTGCTGATGTTGTACGTTTGCCCACTGACAAAGACATGATCAGTCTATAATTTTAATGGTAGGTTTATTTGAACAGTGAGAGACAGAATAACAACAACAAAAATCCAGAAAAAAACGCATGTCAAAAATGTTATGAATTGATTTGCATTTTAATGAGGGAAATAAGTATTTGACCCCTCTGCAAAACATGACTTAGTACTTGGTGGCAAAACCCTTGTTGGCAATCACAGAGGTCAGACGTTTCTTGTAGTTGGCCACCAGTTTTGCACACATCTCAGGAGGGATTTTGTCCCACTCCTCTTTGCAGATCTTCTCCAAGTCATTAAGGTTTCGAGCCTGACGTTAGGCAACTCGAAACTTCAGCTCCCTCCACAGATTTTCTATGGGATTAAGGTCTGGAGACTGGCTAGGCCACTCCTGGACCTTAATGTGCTTCTTCTTGAGCCACTCCTTTGTTGCATTGGCTGTGTGTTTTGGGTCATTGTCATGCTGGAATACCCATCCACGACCCATTTTCAATGCCCTGGCTGAGGGAAGGAGGTTCTCACCCAAGATTTGACGGTACATGGCCTCGTCAATCGTCCCTTTGATGCGGTGAAGTTGTCCTGTCCCCTTAGCAGAAAAACACCCCCAAAGCATAATGTTTCCCCCTCCATGTTTGACGGTGGGTATGGTGTTCTTGGGGTCATAGGCAGCATTCCTCCTCCTCCAAACACGGCGAGTTGAGTTGATGTCAAATAGCTCGATTTTGGTCTCATCTGACCACAACACTTTCACCCAGTTCTCCTCTGAATCATTCAGATGTTCATTGGCAAACTTCAGACGGGCCTGTATATGTGCTTTCTTGAGCAGGGGGACCTTGCGGGCGCTGCAGGATTTCAGTCCTTCACGGTGTAGTGTGTTACCAATTGTTTTCTTGGTGACTATGGTCCCAGCTGCCTTGAGATCATTGACAAGATCCTCCCGTGTAGTTCTGGGCTGATTCCGCACCGTTCTCATGATCATTGCAACTCCACGAGGTGAGATCTTGCATGGAGCCCCAGGTCGAGGGAGATTGACAGTTATTTTGTGTTTTTTCCATTTGTGAATAATCGCACCAACTGTTGTCACCTTCTCACCAAGCTGCTTGGCGATGGTCTTGTAGCCCATTCCAGCCTTGTGTAGGTCTACAATCTTTGCCCTGACATCCTTGGAGAACTCTTTGATCTTGGCCATGATGTAGAGTTTGGAATTTGATTGATTGATTGATTGCTTCTGTGGACAGGTGTCTTTTATACAGGTAACAAACTGAGATTAGGAGCACTCCCTTTAAGAGTGTGCTCCTAATCTCAGTTCGATACCTGTATAAAAGACACCTGGAGCCAGAAATCTTTCTGATTGAGATGGGGTCAAATACTTATTTCCCTCATTAAAATGCAAATCAATTTATAACATTTTTCGACATGCGTTTTTCTGGATTTTTTTGTTGTTATTCTGTCTCTCACTGTTCAAATAAACCTACCATTAAAATTATGGACTGATCATGTCTTTGTCAGTGGGCAAACGTACAAAATCAGCAGCGGATGAAATACTTTTTTCCCTCACTGGATATATTAGTGAAGACATCAAAACTATAAAACCACACATATGGAATCATGTAGTAACCAAAAAAGTGTTAAACAAATACAAATATATTTGATATTGAGATTCTTCAAATAGCCACCCTTTGGCCTTGATGACAGCTTTGCACACTCTTGGCATTCTCTCAACCAGCTTCACCTGGAATGCTTTTCCAACAGTCTTGAAGGAGTTCCTACATATGCTGAGCACTTGTTGGCTGCTTTTCCTTCAATCTGCGTCTCCGACTCATCCTAAACCATCTCAATTGGGTTGAGGTCGGGGGATTGTGGAGGCCAGATCATCTGATGCAGCACTCCATCACTCTCCTTCTAGGTAAAATAGCCCTTACACAGCCTGGAGGTGTGTTGGGTCATTGTCCTGTTGAAAAACAAATCATAGTCCCAATAAGCCCAAACCAGATGGGATGGCGTATTGCTGCAGATTGCTGTGGTAGCCATGCTGGTTAAGTGTGCCTTGAATTCTAAATAAATCACAGACAGTGTCACCAGCAAAGCACTCCCACACCATAACACCACCTCCTCCATGCTTTACGGTGGGAACTACACCAGCAGAGATTATCCGTTCACCCACACTGCTTCTCACAAAGACACGGCGGTTGGAACCAGAAATCTCCAATTCGGACTCCAGACCAAAGGACACATCTCCACCGGTCTAATGTCCATTGCTCATGTTTCTTGGCCCAAACAGGTATCTTCTTCTTATTGGTGTCCTTTAGTAGTGGTTTCTTTGCAGCAATTCGACCATGAAGGCCTGATTCACAGTCCCCTCTGAATAGTTGATGTTGAGATGTGTCTGTGACTTGAACTCTGTGAAGCATTTATTTGGGCTGCAATTTCTGAGGATGGTAACTTTAATGAACTTATTCTCTGCAGCAGAGGTAACTTTGGGTCTTCCATTCCTGTGGCGGTCCTCATGAGAGCCAGTTTCATCATAGCGCTTGTTGGTTTTTGCGACTGCACTTGAAGAAACTTTCAAGGTTCTTGAAATGTTCCGTATTGACTGAAAGTACAGAATCATCTAGAATGTCATTTTATGCTGTAGCGTTAAGATTTCCCTTCACTGGAACTAAGGAGTCTAGCCGGAACCATGAAAAACAGCCTCAGACCATTATTCCTCCTCCACCAAACTTTAAAGTTGGCACTATGTATTCGGGCACGTAGCGTTCTCCTGGCATCCGCCAAACCCAGATTCATCCCTCGGACTACCAGATGGTGAAGCGTGATTCATCAGTCCAGAGAACGCGTTTCCAATGACGGAGAGCTTTACACCACTCCAGCCGACGCTTGCCATTGCGCATGGTGATCTTAGGCTGGTGTGCGGCTGCTCGGCCATGGAAACCCATTTCATGAAGCTCCCGCCGAACAATTATTGTGCTGACGTTGCTTCCAGAGGCAGTTTGGAACTCGGTAGTGAGTGTTGCAACTGAGGACAGATAATTTTTATGCGCTACACGCTTCAGCACTCAGCGACCCCGTTCTGTGAGCTTGTGTGGCCTACCACTTCACGGCTGAGTCGTTGTTGCTCCTAGACGTTTCCACGTCACAATAACAGCATTTACAGTTGACTGGGGCATCTCTAACAGGGGAAAAAAATGTGACGAACTGACTTGTTGGAAAGGTGGCATCCTATGACAGTGCCACGTTGAAAGTCACTGAGCTCTTCAGTAAGGCCATTCTACAGCCAATGTTTGTCTATGGAGATTGCGTGGCTTGTGTGCTCGATTTTATACACCTGTCAGCAATGGCTGAAATAGCTGAATCCACTAATTTGAAGGGGTGTCCACATACTTTTGTATATATAGTGTATGTGAATAGTGATTGTGTGACATTGTGTTGTGTGCTATCCAGTCCCCAGACCCTCGCTCCTCACCCCTCACCCTGTGTTCCTGGTCCATTCAGTGGTTCATGTTGAGTAGAGTAGTGTGAGAGGGGAAGTGGAGGGGACCGACAGGAAGTGAGCAGGATGCAGAAAGGAAACACTGATTTATGAACAAGGCCTGATAGTAAACTAACAGGAAACGGCTGAGGAGGATTCTCCACCAGGTCACTATTTATTTCGTTCACACACACACACACATACACACACCCACACACACACAAAACACACACACACACACACACACACACACAACACACACCCCACACACACAACACACACGTTATGTTTTCTATCCTTGTGGGGACCTAAAATTATTTTCCATTGAAAATCCTATTTTCCCTAACCCTCAACCCTCAACCCTTACCATAACCCTAACTCTAACCTTAATCCTAACGGTAACCCTAACCCTAACCTTAAAATAGCCTTTGTCCTCGTGGGGATGTGGGAAATGTCTCCACAAGGGAGAATTTCCCTTGTTTTACTATCCTTGTTGGGACTTTTGTGGATTTTTCCCCACAACGATAGAAGAACCAACCCACACACACACACACACACACACATACACACACACATACACACACACACACACACATACACACACACACACACACACACACACAGATGCCAAAATGCCACCAAATCCCCCTGCGAAGCCACTGTACCATCATTAGACCACCACAATCAGCCACAGTTGCCGTGTACTATCATCAGATCACAATCAGCCACAGTAGCCGTGTACTATCATCAGATCACAATCAGCCACAGTAGCCGTGTACTATCATCAGATCACAATCAGCCACAGTAGCCGTGTACTATCATCAGATCACAATCAGCCACAGGAGCCGTGTACTATCATCAGATCACAATCAGCCACAGGAGCCGTGTACTATCATCAGATCACAATCAGCCACAGTAGCCGTGTACTATCATCAGATCACAATCAGCCACAGGAGCCGTGTACTATCATCAGATCACAATCAGCCACAGGAGCCGTGTACTATCATCAGATCACAATCAGCCACAGTAGCCGTGTACTATCATCAGATCACAATCAGCCACAGGAGCCTTGTACTATCATCAGATCACAATCAGCCACAGGAGCCGTGTACTATCATCAGATCACAATCAGCCACAGTAGCCGTGTACTATCATCAGATCACAATCAGCCACAGGAGCCGTGTACTATCATCAGATCACAATCAGCCACAGTAAACGTGTACTATCATCAGATCACAATCAGCCACAGTAAACGTGTACTATCATCAGATCACAATCAGCCACAGTAGCCGTGTACTATCATCAGATCACAATCAGCCCAGGAGCCGTGTACTATCATCAGATCACAATCAGCCACAGGAGCCGTGTACTATCATCAGATCACAATCAGCCACAGTAGCCGTGGGACATCATCAGATCACAATCAGCCACAGGAGCCGTGTACTATCATCAGATCACAATCAGCCACAGGAGCCGTGTACTATCATCAGATCACAATCAGCCACAGTAGCCGTGTACTATCATCAGATCACAATCAGCCACAGGAGCCGTGTACTATCATCAGATCACAATCAGCCACAGTAAACGTGTACTATCATCAGATCACAATCAGCCACAGTAAACGTGTACTATCATCAGATCACAATCAGCCACAGTAGCCGTGTACTATCATCAGATCACAATCAGCCACAGGAGCCGTGTACTATCATCAGATCACAATCAGCCACAATAGCCGTGTACTATCATCAGAACCAATAATATCTCCTTTCTCTTGAAGTATTCACATTCACTACTTCCAACAGACCTGAAAGCAGTTATTTGTTGGAGGCTTTAGTGGTTTAGTAGGAGTTACTTAACCAGTAAATTTGTTTAAAATCCGCGAAGGGAAGTGAACTAGTGCACACTCTGGGTGGAAAGAGAGATAATTGGGACACGTCTACAGGGTCTGATAAACAAGAGGAGGGAAATATACATGCAGCAGCTGTTTAGTGACATGGACGTTCACCTTTACGTCATTTATAACACAAATAGTATTATATATTGAAGTCACCTTCCATTGTCATTCCAGAGCTGAAGAATATTTTCCTCAACTGACAGTTTGCTGAGATAGTGTTTTTTCCCCCTTGGGAATAGAGAAACCCCATGAGAGGATATTAGTAGATAACAGTAGAGATGCTACTATGTTCAAGTGGTTTTTTAACAATGAAGTTGTTATTCCAGTCCACTCCGTCTTCCTGGTTCTCAGGCGTTGGGGGAGGGGCATTGGAAGTTGGAGGCGTGACCAACAGGTTTGTCTCAGGCATTAAAGGGGAGGAGCTAGAGGTAGGCATGGCCCTTGTTTTCGTTCAGCTCTTCCCTTCAGTTACGCTATTGCAGACACCCCCTGTACACAGCACATCCCATTAATAGTAGACCTAGACACACACACACACACACACACACACACACACACACACACACACACACACTACGTACACCAAGGAGGAAAACAATGCTGAGAAGACCTTGCCTCTCTTCCTATGCGGTGGTCGTTAGGGAAATGGAAAAGGTGTTCCTCCTTGGTGTACGTAGTGTGTGTGTGTGTGTGTGTGTGTGTGTGTGTGTGTGTGTGTGTGGTGTGTGTGTGTGTGTGTTTTGTGTGTGTGCGTGTGTGTGGGGTGTGGTGTGTGTGGTGTGTGTGTGTGTGTGGTGTGTGTGTGTGTGTGTGTGTGTGGTGTGTGTGTGTGTGTGTGTGTGTGTGTGTGTGTGTTTGTGTGTGTGGCGTGCGTGCGGTGTGCGTGTGCGTGTGCGCGTGCGAGAGTGCGTGCGTGCGTGCGTGCGTGCGTGCGTGCGTGTGTGTGTGTGTGTGTGTTTCCCTACTGCTGCTAATGACAGTCTGTTTTTATGGAGGTTCAGTGGCTTCATTAGCTATGTTGTTTTTCAAAATCAGGGCATTGTCACGGTACGGACACATGGAACTAGATATAGGCCTAATACGATGCTCGGAAGGAAAGACCACACCTCAACTCTTCAATTCTACTCCCTAGTTACATATACAGTGCATTGGTTGTGTTTTTAATTTTTTTTTAATGTAATCTTTACTTAACTAGGCAAGTCAGTTAATTCTTATTTACAATGACGGCCTCCTGCGGGGACGGGGGTTTGGGATTAAAAATAAAAAATATATAGGACAAAACACACATCACGACAAGAGAGACACCACAACAATACCTAAAGAGAGACCTAAAACAACAACACAGCATGGCACCAACACATGACAACACAGCATGGTAGCAACACAACATGACAACAACATGGCAGCAGAACAACATGGTAGCAGCACAAGACACGGTACATACATTATTGGGCACAGACAACAGCACAAAGGGCAAGAAGGTAGAGACAACAATACATCACGCGGAGCAGCCAAGAGGAGCGACCCAGGGATGTGTGTGCTTTGGGGACCTTTAACATAATGTGACTGGCAGAACGGGTGTTGTATGTGGAGGATGAGGGCTGCAGTAGGTATCTCAGATAGGTATCTCAGACCCGGACTATTTTAGTCCGGGTAGCCATGATTAGCTGTTCAGGAGTCTTATGGCTTGGGGGTAAAAGCTGTTAAGAAGCATTTTGGACCTAGACTTGGCACTCCGGTGCCGCTTGCCGTGCGGTAGCGGAGAGAACAGTCTATAACTAGGGTGGCTGGAGTCTTTGGCAATTGTTAGGGCCTTCCTCTGACACCGCCTGGTATAGAGGTCCTGGATGGCAGGAAGCTTGGCCCCAGTGATGTACTGGGCCATACGCATTAACCTCTGTAGTGCCTTGCGGTCGAGGCCGAGCAGTTGCCATACCAGGCGGTGATGCAACCAGTCAGGATGCTCTCGATGGTGCAGCTGTAGAACATTTTGAGGATCTGAGGACCAAAGCCAAATCTTTTCGGTCTCCTGAGGGGGAATAGGCTTTGTCGTGCCATCTTCACGACTGTCTTGGTGTGTTTGGACCATGATAGTTCATTGGTGATGTGGACACCAAGGAACTTGAAGCTCTCAACCTGTTCCACTAAAGCCCCGTTGATGAGAATGGGGGCGTGCTCAGTCCTCTTTTTTTCCTGTAGTCCACAATCATCTCCTTTGTCTTGATCACGTTGAGGGAGAGGTTGTTATCCTGCCACCACACGGACAGGTCTCTCTCTGACCTCCTCCCTATAGGCTGTCGGTGAGGGAGGTGTTTAGTCCCAAGGTCCTTAGCTTAGTGATTAGCTTTGAGGGCACTATTGTGTTGAACGCTGAGCTGTAGTCAATGAATATCATTCTCACGTAGGTATTCCTCTTGTCCAGGTGGGAAAGGGCAGTGTGGAGTGCAATAGAGATTGCATCATCTGTGGATATGTTGGGGCGGTATGCAAATTGGAGTGGGTATACGGTTTCTGGGATAATGGTGTTGATGTGAGCCATGACCAGCCTTTCAAAGCACTTCATGGCTACAGACGTGAGTGCTACGGGTCGGTAGTCATTTAGGCAGGTTATCTTAGTGTTCTTGGGCACTTAAAACATGTTGGTATTACATACTCAATCAGGGACATGTTGAAAATGTCAGTGAAGACACTTGCCAGTTGGTCAGCGCATGCTCGGAGTACACATCCTGGTAATCCATCTGGCCCTGCGGCCTTGTGAATGTTGACCTGCTGAAAAGTCTTACTCACATCGGCTACAAAGAGCGTGATCACACAGTCATCTGGAACAGCTGATGCTCTCTTGCATGCTTCAGTGTTGCTTGCCTCGAAGCGAGCATAGAAGTGATTTAGCTTGTCTGGTAGGTTTGCCTCACTGGGCAGCTCGTGGCTGTGCTTCCCTTTGTAGTCTGTAATAGTTTTCGAGCCCTGCCACATCCGACGAGCGTCAGAGCCAGTGTAGTACGATTCAATCTTAGTCCTGTATTGACTCTTTGCCTGTTTGATGCTTCGTCAGAGGGCATAGAGGGATTTTTTATAAGCATCCGGGTTAGAGTCCCGCTCCTTGAAAGCACAGCACTACCCTTTAGCTCAGTGCGGATGTTGCCTGTAATCCATGGCTTCTGGTTGGGGTATGTATGTACGGTCACTGTGGGGACGACGTCATCGATGCACTTATTGATGAAGCCAGTGACTAATGAGGTGTACTCCTCAATGCTATCAGAAGAATCCCAGAACATATTCCAGTCTGTGCTAGCAAAACAGTCCTGTAGTTTAGCATCTGCGTCATCTGACCACTTCCTTATTAACCGAGTCACTGGTGCTTCCTGCTTTAGTTTTTGCTTATAAGCAGGAATCAGGAGGATAGAGTTATGGTCAGATTTGCCAAATGGAGGGCGAGTGAGAGTGTTGTACGTGTCTCTGTGTGTGGAGTAAAGGTGGTCTATACAATTTTTTTCCTCTGGTTGCACATTTAACATGCTGGTAGAATGGATTTAAGTTTCCATGCATTAAAGTCCCTGGCCACTAGGAGCGTTGTCTTTGGATGAACGTTTTCCTGTTTACTTATGGCCTTATACAGCTCATTGAGTGCAATCTTAGTGCCAGCATCGGTTTGTGGTGGTAAATAGACAGCTACGAAAAACATAGATGAAAACTCTCTTGGTAAATAGTGTGGTCTACAGCTTATCATGAGATACTCTACCTCAGGCGAGCAAAACCTTGAGACTTCCTTAGTATTAGATTTTATGCACCAGCTGTTGTTTACAAATATACACAGACCGCCCCCCCTTGTCTTACTGGAGTCAGCCGTTCTATCCTGCCGATGTAGTATATATCCCGCCAGCTGTATGTTATCCATGTCGTCGTTCAGCCACGACTCAGTGAAACATAAAATATTACAGTTTTTAATGTCCCGTTGGTAGGATAACCTTAATCTTAGGTCGTCCAATTTATTTTCAAATCATTGTACATTGGCTAATAGGATTGATGGAAGAGGCACTTTACTTGCTCACCGTCGGATCCTTACAAGGCACCCTGACCTATGTCCACAATATCTCAGTCTCTTTTCTCATGCGAATGAAGGGGATTTGGGCCTTGTCGGGTGTCTGTAGGATATCCTTCGTGTCCGACTCATTGAAGAAAACATCTTCGTCCAATACGAGGTGAGTAATCGCTGTCCTGTTATCCAGAAGCTCTTTTTGGTCATAAGAGATGGTGGCAGAAACATTATGTATAGAATAAATTACAAATAATGCGAAAAAACACACATAATAGTACAATTGGTTAGAGGGCTGTAAAACGGCAGCCATGTTCTCCGGCACCATTGCTGCAAAACAATGGCATATAAATGGACGAGAGAGCTTCCTACTGCCCTTCCTACTGTTGTTGATGTAAATTGAGAAGAGCGTGGGGCCTAGGATCGAGCCCTTGGGGTACTCCCTTGGTGACAGGCAGTGGCTGAGACAGCAGATGTTCTGACTTTATACACTGCACTCTTTGAGAGAGGTAGTTAGCAAACCAGGCCAAAGTCCCCTCAGAGACACCAATACTCCTTAGCCGGCCCACAGGGATGGAATGGTCTACCGTGTCAAAAGCTTTGGCCAAGTCAATAGAAATAACAGCACAACATTGCTTAGAATCAAGGGGAAATGGTGACATCCTTTAGGACCTTTAAGGTTGCAGTGATACATCCATAACCTGTGCGGAAACCTGATTCCATACCAGAGATAATCCTATTTGTATTTGAATTTGTATTTATAAGGGATCCCCATTACTCTTCCTGGGATCCAAACATATTAAAGCACTTACATTACATATAAAATAAAATATAAAACAGTAAATCGTATAACATTATTACACCACTACATATCTACAATACAAAATGTTTAATACCACCATACAACAATATCACAATGTTTGCGTATGCATGTGTCTGTACCTTAGTGTGTGTCTCTTCACAGTCCCCGTTGTTCCATAAGGTGTATTTTTACCTTTTAAATCTGATTCTACTGCTTGCATCAGTTACCTGATGTGGAATAGAGTTCCATGTAGTCATGGCTCTATGTAGTACTGTGTGCCTCCCATAGTCTGTTCTGGACTTGTTGACTGTGAAGAGACCTCTGGTGGCATGTCTTGTGGGGTATGCATGGGTGTCTGAGCTGTGTGCTAGTATTTTAAACAGAGCTCGTTTCACGATCGTCGGATATAGAGGACCAAGGCGCAGCGTGGAAGGTGAACATACTTATTTATTAAATGATACACGAACAAAACAACAAATCGATACGTGATGTCCACAGGTGCAAAGCACAAACCAACACGGAACAAGATCCCACAAACACAGTGGGAAAACCACCTGACTAAATATGGTTCCCAATCAGAGACAACCAGCAACAGCTGATACTCGTTGCCTCTGATTGAGAACCACTCTGGCCAACATAGATATACAAAAACTAGACTAGACACAACGAGCACAAAACATAAACTCTACACACCCTGGCTCAACTTAAAAGAGTCCCTAGAGCCAGGGCGTGACAGTATCCCCCCCTAAAGGCGCGGACTGCGACCGCGCCTAAACATCACCGAACAGGGGAGGGCTGGGTGGGCATTCCTCCTCGGAGGCGGTTCCGGCTCCGGGCTTGACCACCACCCTCTACTAACCCCCCCGTAGTGCCCCTGGTCTGGTCTAGCCCCACTGGCTGGGGCTGGACTGGACTTCGGTGGAGCGGATTGCTCAGGCTCCGGTGTGGAGCAGCTGACCGGTACCTGACCAGGCACCGGTGAAACGGGCACGGGCTGGCGATGCGCACCACAGGTTTGGTGCGGGGAGCAGGAACAGGCCGGACCAGGCTGGCGACGCGCACCATTGGCTTGGTGCGGGGAGCAGGAACAGGCCGGGCCGGGCTGGCGACGCGCACCATAGGCTTGGTGCGAGGGGCAGGAACAGGCCGGGCCGGGCTGGCGACGCGCACCATAGGCTTGGCGCGATGGACAGGAACAGGCCGGACCGTACTGGGAACACACACCACTGGCCTTACACGGGGATCAGGAACGGGCCGAACCGGACTGGCAACACACTTCAGTACCTCTCGCCGTGCCTCTACATTTTCCTTCCCTCTATACACCAATGGCTCCCGTAACCCGGTGGCCTTCTCTCCTCGTCCACCAACTCGCCCCTTATCTGCCTCCAGTGGCCCCGTCGTCCCTGCCATGTTCCCCCCCCTAAAAATGTCTTGGGGGTGCCCCTCGCCTGTCCGACGACTGCCCGGTTGGCGCCGCTTCTCCTCTCCTGCCTGGGCACGCTGCTTGGTCCTGTATTGGTGGGATCTTCTGTCACGATCGTCGGATATAGAGGACCAAGGCACAGCGTGGAAGGTGAACATACTTATTTATTAAATGATACACGAACAAAACAACAAATCGATACATGACGTCCACAGGTGCAAAACACAAACCAACACGGAACAAGATCCCACAAACACTGTGGGAAAACCACCTGACTAAATATGGTTCCCAATCAGAGACAACCAGCAACAGCTGATACTCGTTGCCTCTGATTGAGAACCACTCTGGCCAACATAGATATACAAAACTAGACTAGACACAACGAGCACAAAACATAAACTCTACACACCCTGGCTCAACTTAAAAGAGTCCGTAGAGCCAGGGCGTGACAGCTCGGTACATTCAGCTTGTCAACACCTTACAAAAACAAGTAGTGATGAAGTCAATCTCTCCTCCACTTTGAGCCATGAGAGATTGAAATGCATGCCATTAATATTAGCTCTCGGTGTACTTTTAAGGGCCAGCCGTGCTGCCCTGTTCTGAGCCAACTGCAATTTTCCTAAGTCCCTCTTTGTGGCACCTGACCACACTACTGAACAGCAGTCTAGGTGTGACAAAACTAGGGCCTGTAGGACCTGCCTTGTTGATAGTGTTGTTAAGAAGGCAGAGCAGCACTTATTATGGACATACTTCTCCCCTTCTTAGCTACTGTTGTATCAATATGTTTTGACTATGACATTTTACAATCCAGGGTTACTCCAAGCACTTTAGTCACCTGAACTTGCTCAATTTCCACATTATTTATTACGCAATGTAGTTGAGGTTTTGGGTTTAGTGAATGATTTGTTCCAAATACAATGCTTTTAGTTTTTGAAATATTTAGGACTAACTTATTCCTTGCTACCCATTCCGAAACTAACTGCAGCTCTTTGTTAAGTGTTGCAGTCATTTCAGTTAATGGGTGCGTGCTTATTAGTAACTGGAATAAGCGCAGCGTCTGGTTGCTTGTCATTACACACCACAGACCAGCAAATATTCTTTACATCATCAACATATGAATCACTACAAAACTTATTGTATGACCTCTTATACACCATATTAGGCCCAGCATTTGGAACTTTGGTTTTTTCTAGATATGGCTACTATATTTTGATCACTACATCTGATGGATTTGGATACTGCTTTAAAGCAAATTTCTGCAGCATTAGTAAAGATGTGATCAATACATGTTGACGATTTCATTCCTGTACTGTTTGTAACTACCCTGGTAGGTTGACTGAAAACCTGAACCAGGTTGCAGGCACTGGTTACAGTTGAATTTTTTTCTTGAGTGAGCAGCTTGATGAGAACCAGTCAACATTTAAATCACCCAGAAAATATACTTCTCTGTTGATATCACATACATTATCAAGCCTTTCACACATATTATCCAGATACTGACTGTTGGCACTTGGTGGTCTATAGCAGCTTCCCACAAGAATGGTCTTTAGGTGAGGCAGATGAACCTGTAGCCATATTACTTCAACAGTATTGAACATGAGATCGTCTCTAAGCTTTACAGGAATGTGGTTCTGAATATAGACCGCAACACCTCCCCCGTTGGCATTTCTGTCTTTTCTGTAGATGTTATAACAATGTATTGCTACCACTGTATCATCAAAGGTATTATCTAAGTGAGTTTCAGATATAGTCAGAATATGAATGTCATCTGTTACAAGCAAGTTATTGACTTCATGAACCTTGTTTTTCATGCTGCATATGTTAATATGGGCTATTTTTAGCACTTTTCTGGGTTGCTTGATTGTTTTTAATGCTATACTGGGAAGGTTATCAGAAGTAGACATGCTATTTATATGGTAGCTGATAGTTCAGGGTGAGCTGCACACAGTGGAACTTCCTACTAGGGCACACCGCCTCAGTGCTAACAGTGTAACTCTGGTTCATAGGCTCATGATTACTGCATACAATAGCTGTAGGATCAACAGAGGTACTCAGGGCAATTGTGTCCGCCAACGCCCCTAGGATAATGTACATTTGATGCCGCATTATGACAACTCATTGTCACCATGGTAGGTGCTGAGCCATGTGGTCCTCTGTAGCTCAACTGGTAGAGCACGGCGCTTGTAACGCCAAGGTAGTGGGTTCGATCCCCGGGACCACCCATACACAAAAATGTATGCACGCATGACTGTAAGTCGCTTTGGATAAAAGCGTCTGCTAAATGGCATATTATATTATATTATTATTATATTATATTTATTATATTATATTATTATATTATTATAACTGAGCTAAGTCATTGTTTCAACACAGCCTTGAAGTACAGAGTCCAGGAGCCAAGATGACTTGGATGGACTATAGACATCAAGAAAGCCAGTCAATTGATTATTGACAAGTTTTTCCAACACTTTTGATAAACAGGGCAAAATAGAAATTGGCCTATAACAGTTAGGATCAGCTTGATCTCCCCCTTTAAATAAAGGACGCACCGTGGCTGCCTTCCAAGCAATTGGGAACCTCCCCAGAGAGGAGAGACAGGTTAAAAAAGGTCAGAGATAGGCTCTGCAATGATAGGGGCTGCAACCTTAACGAAGAAAGGGTCTAAACCATCTGACCCAGATGTTTTTTTGGGGTCTTGTTTAAGGAGCTCCTTCAGCACCTCGGACTCAGTGACCGCCTGCAGGGAGAAACTTTGTAGCGGGGCAAAAAAGGAAGGAGCATGGGGGCTAGTCGCGTTAGATAAGGAAGATATAGGAGATAAGGAAATGTCGGACGTGAAAGGAGACATATGGCTGAGCCAAAAAGTGGTGATTAAAGAGCTGAGCCATGTGCTCCTTGTCAGTAACAACCACATCATCAACATTAAGGGACATGGGCAGCTGTGAGGAGGAGAGTTTATTCTCCAGGTCTTTAACCATTTTCCAGAACTTCTTGGGGTTAGACCCACAGAGAGAGAACTGCTCCTTAAAGTAACTAACTTTAGCCTTCCTGAAGCCTGAGTGCACTTATTTCTAATTTGCTTGAACGAGAGCCAGTCAGCCTGAGTATGCGTGTGCTGAGCCTTTCGCCAAATGGATTAACCCTGGTGGAGTAACTCTGCCAGATCACGGTCAAAGCTGAACCTGTTTTTAATGATCATTTTCTTTTGGGGGTGTGCTTGTTAACAATAACACTGAAAATATCAACAACAAAAAAGGTCCAAGCATCTTCGACAGAGGGGATCAAGCTGATATTATACCAATTTACAGATGCCAGGCTTGCTCATTAAAGTTTTTTAGCAAGCGTCTATGACAAATCAGGACAGGTCGTTTAACTGAGCAGCCATTACGAACACAGGCTGTAAAACAGTGATCACTAAGGTCATTACAGAAAACACCAGACTGACACCTATCAGGATTATTTGTGAGGATAACATCAAGGAGAGTAGCCTTTTCTGGGTGTTCGGAGTCATACTGTCGTGTATGAAGATTATGACTAGTCTTGAGGGACAAAGAAGAACTGTTTATCTTAGTTTGAATGTAGCAGTGGGAGGGTGACGCTCCAGGGGAGACCGGTGATTGGACGAAAAAGGGAGCAACCCATTTATTGCCATTGTTTATAAGTATGGGTTAGACAAAGGAAAAGTCAGAAGCATTCAGATTAATTTGGGACGGGGCTTCTCCAGACTCCGCGGGTCTGTAACTTATGCTGTAACCTCGTGATTTTAACAAAAGCCTCTAAACACGGTGCAGCCTAAGCGGACTCCTTGATTGACAGCAACAGCCACCAACAACAGACACGACAATACCTTGTGGGATTGGTAATCATCTGAGAAAGATTTAGGGAGTCCCATTCCTTTAGTGCTTGGTCAGGTGGTTTAAGCATGTCCCAGTTTAGGTCACCTAGCAGGACAAAGTCAGACTTAGTGTAAGGGGCCAGGAGAGGGCTTAGGGCAGGTAGGGTACAGGCCGGTGCTGATGGTGATCGATAACACCCAGCAACAGTAAACAAAGAGCTATTTAAATGCTTAATGCTTAAAACCAGCAAATTAAATTGTTTGGGGACAGATTGGTGAAGACATCAGAGCACTGAAGGTGTTCCTTGATAAAGATTCACCACCTTCGTCTTGCTTTAAAAAGGTTACAACCAGTAATGTTAAAGGTTAACATCAGTGTTCAAAACACTATTTCTTAACCACGTCTCAGTAATGACCAACACATCTGGATTGGAGCTGTGAACCCACACATTTAATTGACACATGTTAGGTAATAAGCTTCTAGTGTTAACATGCAGAAAACACAGGCTTTTAGGAGAGCAGAAATCAATGAAGCAGAAATCAAGAATCCTTGTAACCAATAGAGAGTCAGAGTCGCGAGTGTGGGAACAAACGTTGTCTGTCCCACGGTCGGGTAAACAAGCAAGTTCATAGTCAACAAAGCACGCAGGAGTCATGTGGCAAATAGCATAAAGCACAATAAAAAAATAAAACGACTTGGGGCTGGCCATTGTAAGTTCAAAGAGCCACTTGCCCCAACAAGATAACTTGAGAGAGTAGCTCTCTATGAGTCCAGTAGGCTATAAAAGTATTGAGATCAAATAAGTAACTAGTAGGCCTATACTAGATAATTAAAGAGTTTCTCAGTGAGCTCACATAAATAAGTGTCACAAGTTAATTAGCCTACATTAGCCTACATCAAATTCTGATCAGTCCAACGTCTGCTGCGTGTTGTATTCATATCATCTGCTCATGGCCTCAACTGTCTTTGTATTCTAATCTACTGTATGTTGGGAGGTAGTCTGCATCATTCAATTTCATTTCTATGGTCTGCAGTGCACCTTGGGTAATATCGGTTATTGGAATATACCCATCCTTCCTATCCAGAAATCTGTTGATGTGCCCTTGAGCAAGGCACTTAACCCTAATTGCTCCTGTAAGTCGCTCCGGATAAGAGCGTCTGGTAAAAAATAAAAAAAATAAAAATAAATAGTCAAGTCGTAATCATTCTCCTGTTGATAACATCTAGGAGGCCACCCAGCGAGACACACCAATCATGAAGGAAATATTTCATCTCCTCATCATTCCAACCATCATCTAAAAGGAGGTGAGTGACTGTTTTACAGTGCTTATCAGCCATCATCACTCTTACTGTTGTCAAATCAAAGGTTGCCGTATGTGATACAGTGAGGGAAAAAAGTATTTGATCCCCTGCTGATTTTGTACGTTTGCCCACTGACAAAGACATGATCAGTCTATAATTTTAATGGTAGGTTTATTTGAACAGTGAGAGACAGAATATCAACAAAAAAAATAAAGAAAAACGCATGTCAAAATTTTTATAAATTGATTTGCATTTTAATGAGGGAAATAAGTATTTGACCCCTCTGCAAAACACAACTTAGTACTTGGTGGTAAAACCCTTGTTGGCAATCACAGAGGTCAGACGTTTCTTGTAGTTGGCCACCAGGTTTGCACACATCTCAGGAGGGATTTTGTCCCACTCCTCTTTGCAGATCTTCTCCAAGTCATTAAGGTTTCGAGGCTGACGTTTGGCAACTCGAACCTTCAGCTCCCTCCACAGATTTTCTATGGGATTAAGGTCTGGAGACTGGCTAGGCTACTCCAGGACCTTAATGTGCTTCTTCTTGAGCCACTCCTTTGTTGCCTTGGCCGTGTGATTTGGGTCATTGTCATGCTGGAATACCCATCCACGACCCATTTAAAATGCCCTGGCTGAGAGAAGGAGGTTCTCACCCAAGATTTGACGGTACATGGCCCCGTCCATCGTCCCTTTGATGCGGTTAAGTTGTCCCGTCCCCTTAGCAGAAAAACATCCCCAAAGTATAATGTTTCCACCTCCATGTTTGACGGTGGGGATGGTGTTCTTGGGGTCATAGGCAGCATTCCTCCTCCTCCAAACACGGCGAGTTGTGTTGATGCCAAAGAGCTCGATTTTGGTCTCATCTGACCGCAACACTTTCACCCAGTTCTCCTCTGAATCATTCAGATGTTAATTGGCAAACTTCAGACGGGCATGTAAATGTGCTTTCTTGAGCAGGGGGACCTTGCGGGCGCTGCAGGATTTCAGTCCTTCACGGCGTAGTGTGTTACCAATTGTTTTCTTGGTGACTATGGTCCCAGCTGCCTTGAGATCATTGACAAGATCCTCCCGTGTAGTTCTGGGCTGATTCCTCACCGTTCTCATGATCATTGCAACTCCACGAGGTGAGATCTTGCATGGAGCCCCAGGCCGAGGGAGATTGACAGTAATTTTGTGTTTCTTCCATTTGCAAATAATCGCACCAACTGTTGTCACCTTCTCACCAAGCTGCTTGGCGATGGTCTTGTAGCCCATTCCAGCCTTGTGTAGGTCTACAATCTTGTCCCTGACATCCTTGGAGAGCTCTTTGGTCTTGGCCATGGTGGAGAGTTTGGAATCTGATTGATTGATTGCTTCTGTTGACAGGTGTCTTTTATACAGGTAACAAGCTGAGATTAGGAGCACTCCCTTTAAGAGTGTGCTCCTAATCTCAGCTCGTTACCTGTATAAAAGACACCTGGGAGCCAGATATCTTTCTGATTGAGAGGGGGTCAAATACTTATTTCCCTCATTAAAATGCAAATCAATTTATAACATTTTTGACATGCGTTTTTCTGGATTTTTTTGTTGTTATTCTGTCTCTCACTGTTCAAATAAACCTACCATGAAAACTATAGACTGATCATGTCTTTGTCAGTGGGCAAACGTATAAAATCAGCAGGGGATCAAATACTCTTTCCCCTCACTGTATCTCTATATGATTTGCTGATATAAATGTGTCACAGGGTGAGTTTTCATTCCACTTTCATGTGTACATGCGTGTGCTAAACGTGTTGTCCTGTGGTATGTGTGTACGTCCTCCCCCTTACCTCCCCTTACCTCCCCCTACCTCCCCCTACCTCCCCCTCCCTGTGTGGGGTTGAACTGAATTGAAATTGGCCTCCAACTGGTAAGAGAAAGCGTCACAGAAGGGACAATCATCTAAAGTCCAGTGCAGTTCTTTCACATCAGTACAGATGAAGAAAGAAAAGGATATGAGATGTGACTGCTTATGTGTTCAGCTTACAGAGAGAGAGAGAGAGACCAACTATCTAGTAGAGAGAGCGAGAGAGGGGGAGAGAGAGAGAGAGAGAGAGAGAGAGAGAGAGAGAGAGAGAGAGAGAGAGAGAGAGAGAGAGACCAACTATCTAGTAGAGAGAGAGAGAGAGAGGGGGAGAGAGACCAAGTTGGAGAATCTCATCTCATACAATATTTGGAGAGCAATACAACATTTACCCCAGCTGTTTACAGTAAGTGTGTGATGGATAAACAGTATGTGTCCATGATGGAGGTCAGGTGTTCTGAGTGGGAGTAGGGATAAAAGTGTCTGCTAAATGGCATATAGCTAATGCTACGTGGCTAACGCAAGCCACAAATAAAACCTTGTCTAAGAATAGCTAAAGCTATGTTGTACACTGCATGAAAATAGGTGTTTCCAGGCATTTTCCAACCTGTACACATTCAGTGAAATTAGACCAGAGCGGGAGATGAGCAGTCATTTCTAAAATGTGTGTGCAGATCGATGCACACTCCTGACCACGCACTGACACAAGTATTTCCGGGGTCGTACACTCCTGACCACGCACTGACACAAGTATTTCCGGGGTCGTACACTCCTGACCACGCACTGACACAAGTATTTCCGGGTCGTACACTCCTGACCACGCACTGACACAAGTATTTCCGGGGTCGTACACTCCTGATCACGCACTGACACAAGTATTTCCGGGGTCGTACACTCCTGATCACGCACTGACACAAGTATTTCCGGGGTCGTACACTCCTGATTACTCATTAACAAGGATTTCCGGGGTCGTACACTCCTGACCACGCACTGACACAAGTATTTCCGGGTCGTACACTCCTGATTACTCATTAACAAGGATTTCCGGGGTCGTACACTCACGGTTATTGTGCATTAACGTAATCTGACATTTTCGGGTGTGTAAACTGCGTGACACTCGCACTTGGAAAGGGTTGTCACTAGTTACCACAGCCACAAAGTCAAATTGGGCTATATCGTAATATCTGGTTTTTGGTCTTAATTTAAGGTTAGGGTTAGGCATAAGGTTAGCAGCGTGGT